TTTGTTTGCTGAGAATTGTCTTACGGAGACAGGTTTGCGAGTCCGAGAATATATCGACGGTTGAACTGAACTCATTATGCAATTTGGATAAACGGGAGACTGGAGAGTTGTGACCCAATTTTGTTCTTCTTATTGGTGGCGACAGTAGGGCAACAATTTTATTACGAGGGTATCTTCTGGGAATTGTAAATTTAAACATGGTTAGCAATTGCGGGCAGTCCATTTTATTATTAAAGAGTTTATGGAGGAAAGTTAGATCCAGAAGATCTCTGCGCGTTTCAAGAGAGACCATTTGATGTAGTAGTAATGATAGTACCAATAGTTATTTCAACCACAGGCGTCATTCCCAAACAGCTACACAAGTCATTGCATTCCCTGAATCTCCCACCAAACATATACCACTTGTTACAGAAGGTAGCCATCGAAATACGTGTCGCATTGTCAGAAGGTTCTTGCAGATGAAATAAATAGGACGAGGTAGGCTTTTGTTACCTACCACCCTCCTCATAGACGTGCTGCAATTGCTTGATTTCGCCGCAAGTGTGGTTCAAAACAGCTAACAAGCTGAGAATAATAGTAATATTCACCGGAGCCAATACTCGAAGATGACCACACCAAAATCTATTGGGATCGATCCATTATCACGGACAGGACTATACTTGCGAATAAGCCTCATATTGTGATATTGGGTCGATCGAAATCGAGGGTATTTCTTGTGGACGTTACCATCCCGCATGACGAGAATATCGTGAAAGCTTAAACCGAAAAACGCCGGAAGTATCTCGACCTTGCGCACGAGATCACCGACATGTGGGATGTGGCCTCCACTGGAATAATCCCAATTGTTTTGTCCGCAAATGGGTTAATTCCAGTCGGCCTTTCAAACAGCTTGAGGCGGTTGGATTTCTGTGGCGTGTCGCTTCCAGCACAAATGCAGAAGGCGGTCCTACTCGATACGGCACGTATTGTTAGCCAGTTCTTGAACCTGAGTCCCTGACCCCGGCCGACTGTGCCATTGCCGGGAAATACCGCCTCTCCCATTTAAAAATTCAAAATTAATCTCTTAGGCCTTGGGAGAGGCGAGAGTCTAAAATAGATATAATAATAATAATAATGATAATAATAACGCACACACTCCATTTTCATTATAAATAATATATGGTAACTATACGTATAATATACTTCGTTATACTAAATAAATAAATTTCTGGGCGGAGGAGTGTACCGCCGTCGCTCTCCTCGACCATACTCGAGGGAAGAAGGTGACGCATCACTCGACGCCGCACGCCGCCACAAGCAAGGTCACCTTGTTTATGATAGCCATCAAAGAAAAGCAAGATAACTCTAATTCATTCATCTGAGGTTCATTACAAAGCAAACAAGTTAAAATAAAATAAAAAAATCATAAGCTAGTATTGTGTACGAAGTTGCTTATATTCTGAGCATGTCGTTATGTTACAATTCATCAAATAAGTCTGTAAGTGCGCGTAAGATCTATATTTTTTACATATACATGCAATATTGGTTTTCCCTCGCACACTGTCTTACGTCAACGTACTTAGTACCTCTACAGTGAAATCCATTTTGCTCTCGTACCTACTCGAACTGTTGAACGCTGAATCTCAGATACTCTACAAGAACGTACTTTATGAATTAATCTCTCTCGCCACCACAGAGCAGATATTATAAAAAAAATATGTGTTCTAAGGAACTTGAAACTTAAATGGATCTTGCAAATCTGGGCTTAATTTGAGAGCCATTACAATTTCTTTTTATCGACAATTTTATATGCGACTTTGTACTATGGAAGAAGAACTTGGTTACCATTTCCCTTCTCTCGTTTCGTTTCTTAGTATAATAAAGCCACATGTGATCTTAAGTCAAAATTGCTTCTATAACATGAAAATCATAAAAACAATACGAACTACATTAAACAAATTACGAATATATGAAATTTTATGACTCTCCTATTGTTGACTAATTTCGTTCGTGGAATTAAACCTCTCCTCTGTAAAGTAGTAATTCTGCAGATGTGGCATCATGGATGCGATTTATCGATAATGGAATTCTTTATGACATTAGAAAAAAGCAACATGAAAGAAAAGAATGGAGAAATCAGTTGCTAAATAAAAAAGTACCTACTAGTAGATAAATTACATTTTCGTCATCACTATGGTTTTGCTTGGCGACTAGACTTCCTGCGTTCCAGCGGCAGCCAGTAAAATCCGCACTGAACTGCTTTTGACTGGAACTTTGATTTTAGAATCAAAGTGCATAAAGCAGAGAGACGTATTTTTTCCTGTTATTATGTGTTTATGATGGCGAAAATTTTCCAAAAAGGAAATCAGTGCAATAAACGAAACAAGACTGTCCAAAACCCTTAACTAAAACAAAATCGTGACAAGAGTCACGTGTAAAATTATAGAAGCAAACGCTGTTGACGGTTAATCCACATAAAAGTGGTAATTAAAGCCACAATCTTGGAATTAAGTGTAGGTAATATACTTGATTGTTATCGTTATCTTTGTTTCTTCCTAGAGTACATATTTCAAATTCTGAACTACGTGTTTGCTCATCACTCGACTCACACTAAACGCCTATGTTTAAACTCTAGTGCAAACTCTATTCGCTAGATTCTTTCAAACTTTTCCGCAGACGGATTCGTACCATCATCGCCAAGCGGTGCGGCTTTTTGTTATTGACGTTTCAAAAAACAGTCGATACGTTTGTGTACATTCGGAAATATTAATCTATTCGTCTAACTCCTGTTGTTTTGCTTTGCTAAAGCACAAATAACGTAATATGTGGCTAACGATGTATATATATAATGTAAGGATTCTTTGAACACGCTATGACAGATTCTTTTATATAAATTTATAGTATGAAGTGGCCTCGTGCCACTGCATGAGAAAATGTTATAAATTAAATGGTTTAGACAGAACATAAATTTGCAGAACATAAATATTAGCGGTGAAGCTTTTTAAATAAGCCACGATCAAGATTTTGATAGACTCCAAATGTTTTCCAAAACAAGACTCCAAAAAAAAAATTGCATAGCCATACTGTGAAATGCAATTGTATTTATGTACTCGAGATCGAGTTTCGAGTTTGTACATTTACTCTGGTTAAGAATTTAACAAAATTATAATATCAAGTCCGTTACAATTTAAAAAACAATAACTGAAAAGTAATTAGAAAATGTAATTCATAAATTATTATTTAAAGGTGTTCATTTCGAATGTATCGAGCTTTCCATTTTACCTTCTGTTTATTACAAGTAAAGAAAGAAAATCTGAGATAAAAGAGAAGAGATGTGGATACCCAAAACGTGCATATACCTAAGTGATTGGATTGGACTTATGATACTAGTTTGAAATTGAAATCTGTCAGAGAACTATAACGTTATCATGTCACATTACAAAAGATCTATTCCTTATCAATTACTATGTATAGAGTCCGCAAATATGTAATTTTTCACGCGAAAACTCCACAACAATCCCGAAATGTGTACACTCTGATCGCTCAATGTGTACATAAATTATTTTTTCCTGACTTGCATTTAGCAGTTGGCTGCTGATAACCCTGGCCGAGGTACAGGACAAAAGGACGAGCTAAAAAGTCTTATTTTGTTAACCGTATAACAAAATGAGTAGCTGACCTAAGAGCACCTAGGTTGCCAGAAGGGCGTACTGTAACGGAGAACCTGCGCGAGTACACGCTGAACTGGGAGGTTATAAGAACGTTGTCAGCGCAGGAAGTATCCTCCAGCCCATCCACAGGTTGAAGAGTAAGTCACACGGAGAGGGGGTGCGCGTCGAGCGCATGTCGGGACGGGCGCACGCGCACTTGCGTGGTTTGTTGTCGTCCATACAACATATATACACGGAATTAGACCCGCCATGCTCCCGACACGACACGCGCCCGGCCCACACCTGCTCTCTGTGTGTTTCAAGCTTTAGTGTTACGAAACGCTACTGTGTGACCATATTCCATAGAGCTCACTATCGTGCGTACATATATACGATATGTACTTAATATCGACCATTGAAAATTTCAAATGGCATAAGTTTTCTCGCACCCCTTGCACCCGTGTTTCTGTTAACAGAGACATTGTATTAATACAATAAAGACATTGTTGTACAATGAGTTTATTTTAATATTTAGGCAATTGATGTTTTCATAAAAATAATTACGGAATTTATTTTTTAAATATAGTAATTATTCTATAGAAACCAAAACGAAGAAATTCCTTTTTGCAGGAATTATCAAATTTAGTTTTTTTACAGATTCTATGCCTTTCATATAACGCAATCATATTTTAATTATTTTTTGTAATTCGATATTCTAATTGTTTTTTTTTATTGCATAACGTGTTTCCATGGATTTTGGTAGTGTTATGTTATACTTCAGTGGCGTAACTCACAACTTGTAGCGACAACTGAAAACTGGGTTTCTCTGTTGTTTATAATAATTAAATTTTAATTATATTTTGGTGACAAAAATATAAGTGCGATTTTCAATAAAACTTTGTTTACATTGTTTCCAAATACAGTACATTGTTGTAATAATATTGAATATGTGCTTTCCAGCCTGGTGAAGTTTTAAGTTATATAGTAGCAGTAGAGTTCCTTGTGAAAGAGTTCGTCCAGGGAAGTATTGCCGCTATACCCATTTCTGCCGCCAAGTCAATATGAGCATACTGTGTTTAGGTTTTGAAGGATAAGAAGTGACGTGTGATGTAGAGTACCTCTCAGATCTTTGTGATTTAAAGCTCTGAGTGGCACTGCAACTGTTGCGGTCAGGCGTGTCGCTTACCACCAGGCGCACGACTTGATCGTCTTGTTACTTGGTATCATAAAAAAAACTCAACCGCGTATATTTGTTTTTTCATATAAACCAAACGTTTCGGGTGCTTTAAAGGTCCCATGGTCACAGCTGACTGTATGCATTTTAAAACTTGTTTAATTTTGATTTATTTATTATATTTTCTTTTGTTTTAGGAATTATCACAAAAGTATGTGCTGCTGTTTATCGCTGACCTCCCAAATAACTATAACTCTGCTGAAGGGTATTCCTTGCAAGACGAATTTCCGGTAATTCACCGACTACATTGACATCATGGCTGAGAACAGGTAATTCCGGTTGCCCTTGTAACATTTTCCAGGTTATCCTTATAACTTCGATATATTGCTATATGTAGTAGTAAGTTGACGTAGACGTCAGTTCTAATTTAGGTTCATGCTACTGATGTTATGTGTTTGCACTTGCGAAGTACTAGGCACTTATCACACATACGCCGTCGCCAATGCAGCAATGACATTAACATGACATTATCATTACATATAAAAGTATTCTTACCTATAATACAGTTAGGTCTCTATGTGCAGAACCAGTGGAAGTAGCAATATATGTAATAATAAGGACACTTCCTAAGTATCAGTTCCAGTACCTCCAGATGGAGGTGAACTGTAAGGGCCAACGCAAACCGCGCGGTAGAACAGAGGACATTCAATTTATCTATTTCAATTGAAATAAGACATAAAAGTCGATCATATACTTTATGCTATTTTAATTGAAATAAGACATAAAAGTCGATGCTTCGCAGAGCGTTTCTCTCTGTGGTGTTGAAGAGCACGTTAGAGAATATCGCAACGGGAGCTGTCGGCATGCAACGGCATCCACTGGTATGTGCCGAAATTTGCCTGAATGCGAAATCCGAGCGACCGGTAGTACCCTGCGGTACGCTAGCGGTCAGTTGCACTATCGTAAGGGCTATCTTTTATCATTATTGTGCGCGCTGGCTAGCAAAGATTCTCTATGACGCTCTTGCCCGCCGTCTGCCGGTTTGTGCTGACCCTAGCTATTGGAAAATGCGGATAGACTGTTTGCCGATTTATATAACTTTACTCAATTATACTAGATGTATGTATTTATTTGTATTAATACATGTTACTGAACTGCACAATTAGGAGGATAACGCATGTAACCTCGAGGCTCGTTGCACTATGTATGTATATAGGATTTCTCACAAGTGCACTACACATTTTTGAAGACAATAATGTGATTATTATTGTCAAGTAATGGATAAAAAATAACAATTTTTCACTTAACACCATCATTAAATTATTTACATTTGACTTCTCATGTTCAGTTTTTGTATGAATGAAAGTTAAATAAAAGATTTTTATATTAGCCTGTCATCTCTTTATTTCCATTATCCATTACTTACGTATCACTTTCCTATACCTATGCGTATCAGTGAGCGTAACTATTGCTAACATTTAATGTAATTGTACTTAGCAAATGCTTTTGTGCCATCAGGTTTCAAGTGTCCACCGTAGAAGGAGAATCCAAGAAGAATGGTATACATTTGGGTACAAGTATTATATCGAGGCCGCTTCGGTCGTCAGCGGAGGCAACAGAACGTGGTGTAGCGGTTGTAGGCCAAAACGCACAGGGCAATCTAGGCTCTGAAACATGGCTTCACGATGCGGGATGGAGGAGAAAACGATCACTCGCACAACTCACGAGGGAAGCCCTACCGAGGATGGAAAACTACAGAAATTCAAAGCGTGCCTTAAAACGGCCGAGCCTCGGCGAATTACACGGAGACCATCTTATTACGGAAGAGGTAAATGTACCTATGTGTCATTATGCTTTGTTTATCTCATAATAAATCGTCCCAAACGACATGAATAGGCGTAACTCACAATTTAAAGAAAAATACCTGCCTATTTACTTCATAACACAATAGCGATTGCGTCGATGGGATAGCGTTTGCCTCCTAAGTAGATCGTGGGTTCAATTACCACCAGGGAACTGCACTGTTGAATTCTTTCGAATCGTGTACATTTCAGTTTTCTAAATATCAATTGTATTAACGGTAAAGGAAAAGTAGTCCTTATGCAAGTTAGATAGAGTCAAGTTTCACGTAACTCAAAGAGGGGTTACAGCGACTTTTAGCAACGATGCGAACGCGCGTGCGTTAAACGTGCGACTGCATCGATACAAACGCACGATTGCATCGATGCAATCGCCTATGAATCCCAAGTGTAGCGATGCAATCGCGCGCTTGTATCGATGCAGTCGCGCGCTTGCATTGCTGCTAAAAGTCCGTAACGTAACCGTTCTAAGGCCATAAATTCGGAACGGTGGCGCATTCAACAAACCTTGATCGCCCCGCTGAACGCACTACGCACCGTTGCGAATTTGTAGCTTAAGAAAACGTGAGTAAGGTCTACTACGGCTTTAGCTTCCTACATAGAGGTTACTCGGGCTAAGCAGTGGGCTGTATACGATAATTATAACAGGAGTTCCCAATCGAATGATGTTATTTGAAAAAATAAAAACGTTATGCTTCAATGAACTCACATGAACATGAATCAAAAATGAATCTTAAATTGGTTTTTCCATATCTAAATTAAGAGCGCGTTCAAATCAGACGCTTGGAGAGCGCAGCGCTGCAGCCGCGCGTCAGATGCGCTTCTATTTTTATTTTTGTGCTCGACCACGATAATTGAAAATCAAATCAACGATTTTACTATATATATACTTTGGATATATACCTTTATATTATAATTATAATATATATTGATTATTGTAATGTTATATGCGTTATTATTATTATTCCCTGTCGTACAGGATAGAATTTTGCCAGTTATTTCAATTGCGCGCTGAACTGGTACACTTCTACAAAATTTTGAAATTTTGTAATAGCGCTACACACACATTTCTACAAGCGTCTTACAACCCGTCCTTATACCAGAGAAATTAGTTCTTATAGTCAGTAGTATGGGAATACTTCGTCTCTTTTATATGTATAAACGGTCACTAGCTAGTATGTAAATTGAAATGGCGCCATTATGTTATGACGTCACAATCAGGTATTGCCGTTTCTTTCTACTTCTTCATTTCTGAATTCTGGCATTTTGTTTTTCAACAATGTTCAGTCCTGTTTTGAGTTTGTTCATCAATTTAAGCCTGTTTATGAATCCAAATGAAAAGCATTTTTAATTAAATTTAATTAATTATTAAATTTTTAATTTTTAATTAAATGTAACGTATTAAGAGTAATATTATATAGCATGCAGGAGCAATGCAGATATCATTATTTTTGAGGTGCTAGTTATCTTTATTTACCTACAATATTCTGAAGTCAAATGAAATCAAGCGAGAATGAATTGATAGAAACGTCCTTGTTTTTGTCAATCATGAATCATTCTTTGACGTCATTAATTTTGCATAATGATCCCTATTACATGTGAGACTATAGAACATTTTCGGAAAATGATACTTTTTATACTTAGCAGATCCTAATGTATATTCTACAACAGCAGTAATCGATCTTAATAGACGATGACAAGTTCCGGCGATTAAAATGTAGTTATGCGATATATAAATACATTGAATATACTAGGGTATGTTGCCAAAATTACACAGAATGCGAAAAATGATATACATAACGACTGTAAACTGGCAATCGGTAGGTACTACCTCAATTTTGACAACTTTACAGAATGAAGAAAAAAGTGCTTGCGTCATTTATATAGAGCATCTGGATTATTAAATAAAAATACGTAGTTTTTAAATATGTTTGTTACATATGTATGTATACTACGTATTTTTATTTAATAAAGCAGATGCTATATAAATGATTTTTTCTTCATCCTGTAAAGTTATCAAAATTGAGATAGTACCGGTTGCCAGTTCACAGTCGATACGTAGGATTTTCCTAGAATATGTAGGAATTATAACAATCACTACTACAACAAACGATTAATTTTACCTATTTAATTATTGTACTGGTAACAATTTTTTTTTTCAAAATAGCTCGTAGCGACATTCGCGTGGCATGCGTGCGGTAGCAACAAGCACATATCTTATTTGCTATTCCTATTTTACTGAAAATATTATTATATTGTCGACTGTCCGTAATTATAGGCATAGTTTACAATAAATTGTTCATTATTCATTAATAGATTCAGGCATTACTTTGCGGAAGTACATGTTAATAAAAATGGAAGTAAATTAATTTACTACTCCGCGAATCCACTGAAGGTTAAATCGTGCCAAATAGCTGCGCTTCTGTTGAATATTTTTTCATGCAGTTAATTATCCCTCTGCATAAAATTATACCCAAAATATATATATTTCTATTTTTTGGTGGTGGTTTGTGACTGTAGTTGCGCTTGTGTTATTTATTTTATTAATTTTATGCGCAAATTTTATTTTTATTTTTTTATAAACTAATTTACTTCCATTTTTATAGTTGATTATTGAAAGATAAAGTAAATGTTAATACATTTGGTTTTTGAACGCACTGTATGTAACTTTAATGCTTTAGAAATATCCTGACTTAAATTTAAATACATAATTTTTAAAAAAACTACAGCAAACGATATCGGCCATTAAATAAAAACTTAGAAACTCCCACACTTCTACATTTTCTAATATAATTTATAATCTAATATAATATTTTATTTTAAATTCCAAAAAAAAATGTGTACTAGATTATGTATTTATTACATGTATTTTTACACTTGCATACTAAGTTTCTGTATGTAGCAATTAAAGATTTCCTTTTAAAAATCTTCCAAAATAAACTTGATATAATCTCGGCTAAAACAAATAAAATGTTTATCTCCTCTTCATTTCCTGTTGTTTTCGTAAAAAAAATATTTAAATGGAAGCGTATTATATGTATGTACGTTTTTGGCGAAGTTGTTGAAGAGGCATGTGCTATTATTGTTTTTGTTATTTATAAATATATCCACCTACCATTGTCCTTTAGTTACACAAAAACACTTTTATTTCGATCTGATATGAGTAGTTACTGCTTTTTATATAATAACCGGACTCTACTATTTATGAATTTAACAGCAAAACAAAGGAAAATAAAGTTTGTTTGCGGTTGCCATCACTTGAATAGGCGAGAGCGAGAACAGATAGGGCCGGATTGTACCGGTGTGATTCAGATTTTTGTCTAATCTCGAACGCCATCCGAAACGTTTCGTACGTTTGAAAAATCCAGGACTTAATTCGATCTGCTTTCAAATCGTATTTCTAGAATCATACAAGATGAAATTGAACTCATCCATCTTTTGCTATAACTTTAGGTCAATGAAAGACACATATCATGTATAGATTTGATATATAAAGGAAAATCTTTTTGAAATAGTAGTAGAAAATTCTTCATGCACCTTATAATTTATTAAAACAAAAAGCTTAAACCAATACTGTAAGCAATTATCGAAACTGTAAACTTTGTAAAAAACTCTTAAAAACGTAAACGTATCGTAAACGTATCGATCGTACTAATATTTATGTCGTTTATGTTTCATAATATTGTTAATACAATCCTAGATCTAGATGTATGTGGTGGCCTATGTGGCCGGAAGTGGCAAATCAAGCGAACAATTATTTGTATCTATTTTTTATGTGATTCGAGCTCATCGTGCAAGTGAACCCATAGGTATATAGAACGTAGTTAACAAAAGGTGACATTAGTTAGTTTGTTGAACTTTTTACATTACATTCTTTCATGGAATTCAGTTGCATGCATTGATAATGACAGTAATTAGAAACATTTATATCTTTTGTATGTTTATGACATTGTATTTTTATATTTTTCTTTCAACCGTATGATTTTAGGGCACTTTCAAATTAGACGCTTATAGAAGCGTTACAATAGCACTACTGTGGCGCTGCAGCTGCGCTACTACTCATTTTCATACAATATTTACTAAAAGCGGCGTCACAGCGCCATCGTGTCAGCGTCACTGTCGTGACATGCGCGCTCCTCTTTTGCAATTACAATTAGTGAGCTAAAAATTACTGAAGCGCCATAGACGGGCGGCGGCCGCGCTTCTACAAGCGTCTATTTGAAGGAGTACTAAATTTAAAAGCGGAATCGAGCGGCGCAAATTCAATTACTCTCCTCCTCCTCCGTCCTCTACTGATAGTAAAGTAAAAACTTAGTTCATTAATTTGTCACTTAATACAATGTGTAAACCAGCTTTCTGGTGTTAACACCTATCATTTTATTTGGCATATTTACCATTCTTTAAAAAAATCAACTCACGTGACCAAAAAGAAGTAGGAGCAAGTAGTAATTGCCTCCGTAGGCGAACGGTTACCATGCTGCTCTGACACGCAGAGGTCCCAGGTTGGAGTACTGGGCCGGGATAAATATTTGTATTCCCTACATTTATTTCTCTCGTCTGTTTAGGTATCATTTGTGATTAGGTATCTATGTGTGTGTCCATATCACCCATGATACACGGTTTGCCCAGTCCAGGGCTATGATGTGTGCGGTATTATTTCTATTATTTTTGATACACTGTTCATGTGTATATTTAGCAAAATAACTTCGATACTGTAATGAATGCAACAGGCACGTGTGTGGTGTAAAAAATTACGTTTCGAATAAAAATAATTGACCTACTACGGATAAATGTGTAGATGATGAGTATAAACATATGGGAACGTGCACAATGGCGATTTGTCTCACGAACAGATGAATGTGGCATGATGTAAATCAACTGACGGTGTCCATCATGGCATTTATCACTCATCCTGGTACACACGTGATAGTAATCATTTGTTGCCTTGGATGCTATTGGATTCACGTGCAAAATTTCGCCTGTCTTGATATTGTTTCCTTTGGTAGGTGATCGACGTGCACAATTTTCAGAAAGCGTAGGATTTGGTTCATGAAATGTAGCGTTGTGTGCCAGAATAAGCAAAAGCGTGGCTTACGTGACAAACATATTATCTTACTCATACTCAAACTCACTGCACTGTATAGATACAACAGCCCTAGGAAGAGAGTTTAGGTCATAGTCGACAAAGCCTAGGGCCATACTCTCGAAGCACAAAATCTGTAATTACGACCGGTTTCCCAATATGGTTGACCTACGGAACTACTTTCGGAGTCCCTTAACGAAAAGACGGACCCTATCGAAAATATCAAACGGTTCGTTAGAAATTGTCAAATCGCGTTGTCATACAGTTTTAATTCGTGCGCCGATCGAAACTCATGTCTGTAGGCCATCCATAGTGGGAAAACGAAATAATTACGGATTTCGTGCTTTGAGAGTAGGGTCCCTAATGCGGATTGAGGAATCCTCGCTTCAGCGTGTTGTTTTCACAATCAAACACGAGCTCAATAACTAATGTTGAGATGATATTTTTTTGTAATTATCAAACATAGGTAATAAAAGGGTAAGAATAAGGAATGTAAAAGTGCATTAAAATGTAAGATTTTGCAATAGTTGTTTGTATTGTTCAAGGACGAAAGAGAACAGAGAGATATCAAGTCGCCGACGCCACACGCAGGGATCAAACTAGGATGGATCCAGGTAAGAACTACAATTGATATTATTTTGTCTCTACTGTTCTGTATCAAATTGAGAACTATTTTGTATCGTAAAGAACAAATACTAACATAGCTGTTTGAGGAAATATGAAAAATAATATTTTCTTAGAAGATACTTATACCAACACGGTCACATTTCTTCATGCCTCGAAAACCGACCTCGAATCTCTTTTTGAGATGTATCCGCACCGATAACTGATTAACTTTATTGTTAAACTGCTGTCAAGAAACGTTGTTTTCAGTCAGACAGTATCATAAGTCGTAGCAGCTTCTTAATCATTCCCGAGCTAAAATTCGCTCATGTTGTCACATTTTTGCTACCCGCTGTATCCTATTGCCTCACTGGACCAACATGACAATATTGCGTTAGTGGAGGCAAACACCTAAGTTCTTGAACATCGTCGTTGATAGCTAAGGACCTTTCGATCGATATATTTTGGGGAGTATGCTCAGTGTTTCATTACATTATTTGATTCCGTGTGACCTGTGTGCTATAGTAGATGTTCATTGCATAGAAGACTCATTCCATCAATTCACACGACCCATTTTGCTGCCGTTATTATACGTACAGATCTTTGCCGTGCTCTTTAAATCCCGGACAGCACAACTTGGGTATGTTAAAGGCCAAATTAATCAAGTATCTTCTAGGCAAGCTAAACCATCCTAGTCAACATCTAAAATATACTTAAAATAAATAAAAATAAAAAGAGAACTATGTTATTCACTATGTATGAAAATGAGTAACGTGTGCCAACACGGACATTAAAGCACTTGTTTTATACATCATAGTTATATAAATATGTATAAATCTTTCAAAAATATGTCTTTCCTTCCGGTTTGAGCTGAATTTAACAGAACGTATGTTCATGTTGGCAATGATCCTAATTCTACCTGTGTGCTCAATAACATTTGTAACTACAATATTGCTACAATTGCGTCTATTTCGGCTGGTCCAAAGCAAAACCTAGTAAGGGACAATGTTTTTGATAATAATTTTTTAACTGAATACTGTTCCACAGTAAGTACTCATCAAATTGCTGTGACAGCCGCTTCAATATTCTACAATTTACCAGAGATTACGAAATCTTAAAACCTAGTAAGGCACACCTAGTCTGTTTCCAAACCAATTCAAAAGACAGCAAGTATTTGAGACTTGCAAAGTTTAAAAGTAGTTAAAACGTTTTACTACGTATTTGAATTGACAATTAGTGGATAATAAACTTACTAATACTGAAAAATCTTAGTCTTTTTATTAATTTCAAACAAAATCAAATATATATTGCAAATTTTCTAAAGCAATAAGTAAACCAAATACCTAGCAAATACTGCTTTTTTATTCTGGCTGCTGCAGTAACTTTACTTACGTACACAAATATTCAAAATAAAAATTTGTAAAATTTTGTCTAAAGCACTTACTGGGTTTTGTTATCGAGCAACCGATTTTACCTAATTCTCAAAATAATAAAGGATCGAGAAATGGGAACAGTTGTTACTCAACCGTTCAATTCAAAGATCTTGTGTGCTTCTGCCAACCTAGTAAATACTTTTACGACGTACGGACGGACGTGAAAAACAAAAAAGAAACGTTAAAAGATTTGCAAGAACACGATGTTCAATAATATGATGTTCACTACAGCAATACTTCAGATTTATGTACATAATAACCCCATTACCACAGGAACGATCAAGATTACTAACTTTTGTATATTCCAGGGCGTACTGATACCATGCCTATTAAATATTTGGGGCGTGATGCTGTTTCTGCGCATCTCCTGGGTGGTGTCGCAGGCTGGGATCGGCCTATCCCTGGTCATCATCGCGATATCATCGGTCGTCTGTGTCATCACCACACTCTCACTCAGCGCCATCTGCACCAATGGAGAAGTAAAAGGAGGTAAGCGTATGTTACAAAAAAACATCCGCTCACACACTTTTTAAAATACCCAATAAAGGAATAAAAGCTTGAATCAATTGTTTCTTCTTTCTTCTATTAAAAGACGGTGTACTCTTCTTGTTATCTAAGCCACAATAAAAATAATAATACGCACCCTTGGTGTAATAACGTCAAATCTACAAAATAACTACTTATCAGGAAAGCTGCTAAGAGCAAAATCAGTCGATAACTTTTTATGCTTAAATAGAAGAGCTCTAAAATTTCACATAAATATAATATATGTTCCATGTAGTTCGTAGTATTTTTGATTTTCATACGTCCATTACATGGTAAAAACACTTTTGACGTATGATCGAACACATATAGCTGTACAATGGTACGAATTTTGGTTATTTAGGGAAGGACTGATCCATTTGACATAGATAAAATATTTATAATTGGTCTGATTGAGAACTGCAAATTAAGTTAAACTAATACATATTTTACTGAAAGTATTTAATTACATTCATATATTATAACTTAATAATGTTAAATAATTATATAAAAAAAGTATATTTTATATTTAATAATGTTAAATCCCACAAATCTGGTCCACAGGAGGAATTTACTACATAATATCAAGATCTCTTGGGCCAGAATTCGGCGCATCAGTAGGTATTATCTTCGCGTTTGCCAACGCCGTATCGGCCAGCATGAACACTATTGGTTTCTGTGATTCTATGAATAATCTGCTGAAAGATCAGGGGGTGAAGATCTTCGACAATGGAGCTAATGACACGAGGCTTGTTGGCGCTATAGCATTGGTAGTAATGTGCCTCATTTGTGCTGTTGGTATGGATTGGGAGAGTAAAGCTCAGGTACGTTTTTGAAAACTACAGCATCTTATAATTTATGGTAACACAAGGCAATCCACTGATTGCAAATAAATATACACATACATATAACTATAATCTTGACGTAAGAATGAGATTCTTTTGGATTGCACGGCACATAATATTACATACATATTTATATATGTTTTTGTTGAGCAGTCATCTAATGTGAACAAGATAATTATGACTGAACAAATTATCCACACGTCGGATCTACGTATATACCTTATTTCACATAGAAAGTTCGTTCTTTCACAAAGACAAGACTTATCGCAAAACAGTAAAAGACAGAGTATGGGATAATGTGATCGGCGTTCTGTATGCACGACACACGTAATTGCTGGATACCGCCCGCCCTACCGCTGGCCCGCCCGCCTTTCGCGCCAACACACGCCAAAGACTATAATCTAAAGTCCATTACTTTGTCCCATTTTTTAATAAATACTGCCCTTGTGAATGATTAGGAAATTTAATATTTATATTTAATCAATTATATTATTTTATTTATGACCTGGATACAAAGTTCTTCAGTAGAAAACATTTAACATTAACAAAAACGAAACAAAAGTTTAGAATTAGAACAAATTCAAATTAAGTAATTATCTACATAAATAGGATGTAAAGAATTACTTTTTTTCTACCGTACTTATAATAAACTTATAGAGTGGGATAAAAAACTCATTATTGGATAGTAAGTCGTGAACACTGCGTTGAACACTGACTTGGTTTCGCACACAACTGTCGCTGTCACTTATGTTTTCCATAAGAAGAGACCGTTGGTTGTTGAAGTTACGGCAGTTGAAATTATTTAATGTAAAAAGCAATTAATTAATGTAATTGTGTTGCCATTTAATTGTACAGATATATTTCTTTTACAAAGTATTAAATAATTTGGCACAAAATGGTTATGTATGAAAAAATTATTGAAATTGATAGTTATTTACTGTGTCAATGAGAATTTAAATAACTTTTTAGACATTATAAACATTATCTTAGTATGTCTATGTAAGCCGTGTACGCCGTCAATTAAAAATTTGTGTGTATATCAGTAGTCACTACATACACAACTACTTATCTTTTTTAACGCAAAATCATACAAGAAAATATTATTGTTATTAACGTACGCCCATCACACGTATATAGATAATTCATAATAACGTTATATACGAGTACTTCGTTCTCAATTATCTGAATTTATGAACAATTGGCACTCACATCAAAAAGGAAAATTTATTAAATTAGTTCAAATCACTTGGCTGATACGGTCTATTGATTGTAAGATAACATGTACTAGGTAATAAGTACATAAAGAACTACTTAGTTATATACTTAGTAATTCTACTAAGTTCTAGTAGTCTTTGAGACATTTATGTTTACATTATGGAATTCAATATTATACCACGATGACGAAATGAAGCATAAGATCAAAGTGATCTACATATAGACCTGACTGAAATTTCGATGTACTACGTGCTGTTTAAAACATAAATTTGATTCCTCGAAGTAATGCATGGTTTTGTCGGTCATTTACTGCGTAATATTGTTTAGAAACGTAAAAAATCGAATTTGAAGTGCTTATTAGAATTAGAATTCTATTCTTTTTAACCGACTTATTTTAGAGCGCGATTACTCGATTTGTAAAACCGATTTTTTCCACTTTCTATTAACCGATTTCAATAAAACTATCCAAATAGATCGTTAAACGATCGTTAATGATTAAATTAATAATAATAATAACGCACACACTCAACATAGCCCCGCACTAGGGAAACCCTGTGTCGCGGGTGCCATGGATACACACATAGACAACCACAAATAACACGCATACTCACCAGAGACATAAATGTAGGCCATACAAATATTTCTCCCAGCCCGGGAATCGAACCTGGGACCTCTGCGTGGCAGTCCGGCATGGTAACCGTTCAGCCACGGAGGCAGTTAAAATCCAAATAGATGTAATTCCACACACTTTTGAGGTCGGGTTTTTTTCATAAAAAAGTTATAATTATAAATATATCAATCTGTTTATACCGGACTATGACCAACGTCGTCTCAACGCAACGGCTTAGCAATCAAGTACTCCGAGTAGGCAAAATAGAGGTACCAGAACTTTTTTGTAAGTTGGTTCTGGGTGGTGCCCCCAGATTTCACTTCATTACTCTGATATATATTTTCTCGGGGGTAGTTTGGATATGTTTGTCTGTCACATACGAAAATTCCAATTAAATTAGAACTATCCATAATAAGTCTTTCTACTTACTGCAATAATGTTCATATTGTTGTCACCAGAATTTCCTGATCGCGGTAATAATGGCTGCAATTATGGATTTCATAATCGGAGCTTTCATGGGCCCCAAGTCACCTATAGAAGTCGCACAGGGATTTGTCGGGCTGAGCGGTAACATTCTTAAAGTAGTACCATTTGTGCCCAAGTAATAAAAAGACATAATTGTATAATGGGTATTATAACTGATATAGGTGCTTGTACTGACTGATATATATGTATGATAAATATCTAATTCCAGTGGATACAATTAATTCGAATTTTGGATCAGCGTACACCGAGGATCAGAATTTCTTTGCTGTTTTCGCGATCTTCTTCCCCTCAGTCACTGGCATCCAGGCTGGTGCTAACATATCTGGAGATTTAAAGGTACATAGTTATATTTTCCATTAATGTTATACACTTTTTAATTTTTTTTATAATACCAAGTGACGGAACGTAGAAGTCGTGCACAGTTGCAGTGCTATTCAGACTTTTAAATCGCAAAGATCTTATGGGCACTGTCACTGCGCCCGTCACCCTGAGACGTAAGTTGACAAGTCCCATGTGCCTGTGATTTCACCAGCACCCTTACCCTTCTAAGCCGGAACGCAGTAATGCTCACATTACTGAAGGTGGCAGTATTTCCCTGAACGAACTCTAGCTCTACTGCTACTAAAATGCTACATATATACACGTAGAGTACATTCATAGTTGGTAGACGTCCAAAAAGTAGTTAGAAAATGCTATTCGTAAACAACAAAGTACGGTGAGGCCCATGTCCAATGCGTGGGACCAGGAATCGCCTTATTCACCACTCGCTTTTATTAAAAGTTCGATTACCAAGTGCGCGAACGGAAACGTCAGCTCTATCGTTACTAACACGAGAGCTTTGGAATGACGTCAAAGTGCCTTAATTAAGTATCGAGGGCGGCCGGTGGGTGCGGTGACACCCCTTTGTTTATCTTGTTACACTACTATTTCTAAGAAATACCTTCGATTATAATTGTCATTACTATACCTTTTACTTGATTGTAAGAAAGTTGCTGAAACTAAACTAAAATGAGTATTGCCGCATGCCGTTACAGTGACGGCAAGATTCTATTTATCTTGAGACATGTATGATCTTCATGTTATACACTAGAAAATCGAATCAATAGTGTTGTTTGTTCAAGTGTAAGCAAAGACCAAGTCCTTGGTTTACTGGTGCAGTCGTTAACCTACACGGAGACGCAAAATTGGCATGTTTGTTTGTAGAAGCACACGCCCTACTTGCCTCTGACGATCATAGAACAATTACGATACAGTGACCTCATCAATACGTCACTGTACCTACTAATGAGTTCTGAATACGATTCTATCTTAGAAGTAATTTAACGCACTATTGAAAGAAACAATGTCGCGACACTGATCAATTGAAACTATCGTAAATGTTATAGTGACAAATGCACGAGCGAAAACTATTTCGACGAAATTGCAACGATCTATCCAGCGAAGAGTCAATTTGTTTAACCTTATATTTTCGGAATTTTATGACCGTTTTTGCAATACGAAAGGCAGTTCCCAAATCAATTAAAGCCAATTGAAGCATCAGTATTAGTGACTCAATTCATTTGTCTGCGGTTTGTAATAATGAAACTAGTGCCGTAAATTCTCTTACACTGAGAAGCTATGTCGTTTAATGTTATTGTTTAGACTTTGAATATTGAAGTTTCCTTCGTAACTATGTGCATCGATGTAACGCAAAATTTTATAGAAAGTTAAATTAACTTAATAGAGAAATAATTTAAGTATAAACTACTTAAATATATTCAACAAAATAGATTGTGGTGAAAAACAAATACAATTAAAAATACAATTCAAATACAAAATAATAATAAGAGCCCAAACATAATTTAATATATTAACAAGTCATTAAGGCAAAATAAGTATAATAATAATACAATAATAACAATGTTAAATTAGATACCCTTATCACGTTTAAATATAAATTAAATTAAAGTCAAAAGCCTCCAACAACAAATTCATCAATGCAATAAAATGTTTCAAACTCTTTTTCAATGATGATGATGTAGAATTCTGTTCTATTTTAATTATTTATTTAATTTGTTCGGTAGGGAGATCATAAAATATTTTTGTTCTTTGATATCTTTAACGACACATATTCGTAGTAAACATTTAAGATTCGTTGAAATAACTACGATAAATTAAAATTCCAATTGAAAGCAAACATGTATACATATTTGTATTTTCCTTAGGACCCTTCATCAGCAATTCCAAAAGGTACCTTGTTGGCACTGCTATTCTCCATGATAAGCTACGCGGTAATGGTGCTTGTATCAGGTGCTGGTGCCCTAAGAGACGCTTCTGGGAACCTTACCGACCTCATAGACAACTCCACGTACGACCTCAGTACTATTGTACATAATGCCACTTATCAGTATGGACTACATAATAGTTACACAGTAAGTTTAAAAAAGCAACAAATTAAACAAAAATGTATTATATACCTATATGTATATGTATAATTTTTCAACATAATGCGATGAAATCTTCATCATATGTAGCTTGGAGACATTCACTGCTGAACTTCATCTTTGAACCATAAGCACGCTTCATCTGGTCTACGGTTCACAAAAGTGATTTAAAAGTCAAGTCTGAAAATCAAACAATGTGCAGGTAATGCAACTGATGTCAGCATGGGGCCCATTCATCTACGCCGGCTGCTGGGCTGCCACTCTGTCAACCGCTCTCACCAACCTGCTATCAGTCCCTCGTCTAATTGCCGCACTAGGTGTCGACCGCATCTACCCTGGACTTATCTACTTTGCCAAGCCTTACGGCCGTGCTGGAGAGCCTTATCGGGGATATGTACTTACCTTCTTCGTTTCACTTGCATTTTTGCTTATAGGTAATATATACATTTATATTCAACTGCATTAACCTCTCCTAAGGCCCAGCAAACTATAATGGAAATAATGGGAAACGCCCAATGTTCATTAAAGTCACCTAATATCATTACGTTCATCAGGCCCAAACAAGTATGCCTTTAGTTTTTTATAAAGAATGCATTTTTCTAGATACCCCATGGTTATATAGAATAGATAGATATATACACTTTATTGCCAACACACAGAAATAAAAACAGTATATACACTACAGTATATGCATATACTGCGCTAAATTTGAATTCGATATTTTCATTATAATATATACTGGGCGTTTACGTGATCATTACGTGATAATATTGTCTGGGTCTGAATCACTTTAATAGGTACATTTTGATGTGCACGCGGCCTTAGAAGGTTAATAGTAAAAGAACAAGTTTGGTATTGGAAATTATAATACGAAATATTAACTCATTTTGGTCACAACCCAATCAATGCCAGCTCCGTGATTTTAGTAGCGACAAGTCGCAGTCTTTTGCTGTACAATTTTTATACTTTTCTACACTATATTTCTAGAATTCAACTACATTACACCTATATCTTTTGTATTTCATACAGCCAGTTTGGACACGATTGCGCCGTTGATCTCTAATTTCTACCTGGCGTCGTATGCGCTGATAAATTTCTGCACATTCCATGCGGCCATCGTACGCCCGCTAGGCTGGCGGCCTACCTTCCGGGTAAGTGCAATATGTTGAACGAACAATTTCCTATTTCATAAACTTATTTCCTGTAGTTCCTTTAATAAGACCTGAAGCTATTCTCCAGCTGGTAGTAGAAGAGAACTACGAGTACATGTAGCAGTCTCAGTACTAAAACTTCAAAAGGTCTGTTAACGACAAAATTCACTTAATTTTATCTATAGAATTTTTTTTTTTGCCCACTTTCTCGTGACGCAAGCACAACATTCTTACCAATATGCATCTGAAAAATACAAACCAAAACACAAACAGTAAAAAATACAGCCGTAGCAGCTTGTACAGAATAGATTTCTTGCAAAAGTTATGACAATAGCTCTGAACTAAAATGATCAAATATGTTTAACTGTGTAATCCACAAGGGTGTTAAATGTAGTAAACATGAAATTTCAAGTGGTGACTCTACCCTGAAGAGCTTTCATTTATGAATCTATATTGAGAAAAGTAAGATATACTATTCTTACAAACTGCCCGAACGGCTGATTGTAATTTGTATACGGGGTCGTTAGTAGTTGAAATTGGGCTCATTATTTTATAACCAATAACACCCTATGAAATGAAATCTAATTGCTTTGTTGTAGTACTACAACGCTTGGTTATCGCTAATGGGATGCTTGATGTGCGTGCTGATCATGTTTTCCATCAGCTGGCTAAACTCTGTAATTACCTGCGTCATCTTCTTTGCGCTCTACCTCGTCGTGCAATATAGAAAACCAGGTACGTGACTAAACAAACTACAAGAGTCTTCCGAAAGCAGTCTGCCACCAAAGTTGTTATTCTAGGTAATAAAACTGTGGTGCACGTCTACTTTTGTCATAAATACATTGAGCGTGTTTTCAACAAAATAGATTTTCTTAATTATAATATTAACAATACATATACTTGCGTGTTACAACTTTTTAATATCCTTAACAATACAAACGTGTAACTGAATACCTAATGGAGCTGCATACATAAACTTAAATAAGGTCGCGCTCGGTAAGGAAAGGAAGAAAGATTTATGCCTCGCACGATTGTAATAGTGGATAATGGCGTCAGGCAGTACTTACTGCTCTATATTTCCTATTTATAAGTATATAGTTCTTAACAATCGCGGTTGGTACTTGTTCCCCTAGAAACTAATTTTACTTCTAAATTTAGTTCCACGTCATGGGAAGTGCCCTCGAAAATAGCCCATGTTGACTCTGTCTAAATTCGTATTGAAGTATCGATCACGAATTACATCATATGTTTCCTATGTTCATGCATATTCCACAAGATTCATGTTATTCATATTGCGTATAAAGTAAATCTGAAAATTATTAAAACATACGATTTATTGCGATGATTCATATAAACAACTGTCTTTCATGTTAAAACCTTTACTCCGGAAACGCAAAGGTAATATATTATTATTTTGGATGTAAATTAAGACGTTAGATGTCTATTAAAATGTAGTTTAAAATATATATATATATATATATATATATATATATATATGGAATGGTGGAGGTGATATACTTATATCTCCCGTTCGTGTTCCTTTGAAGAATTCAAAAAGTCATCTAAAAATGCAAAAAGAGTTTATTTGGTACTTATAGTATACTATATAAATATATATATCATACAACCAACAGTAGTAACTAATACCACTTTCTAAATTATAAAGTGGAATTAAGTGATATTATAAACAACTTGGTGAAAAGTAACTGGAATATAAAATACTTGAAATTATAGGAAGAGAAAAGAAGAAGAAATATTAATGTTTACCGAATCCTGGGCCTAAAAAAGGCTGATCAATTTCAATCAAAACTTATTTTATAGATGTGAACTGGGGTAGCAGTACACAAGCACAGACATACAAAGTCGCCCTATCAAGTGCTCATAACCTGGCTCGTACGGGCGAGCATGTAAAAAACTATTGGCCTCAACTATTAGTACTGGCAGGAAGACCTCAAACGCGTCCTGCTCTCGTCGACCTAGGAAACCTGATCACGAAGGCTGGTTCTTTAATGATCATTGGCGATATCTCACAGGTTTGTCTAGATTTTGCACATTTCTGTTTTAAACTGTCTTTTAACTTTACAATTGAAGTAAGCTTATAAATTTGAATAGACCAAGGCAAAGTTAAGCAAATTGTCCAGGATGAAATACTTTGTATACTTGGTGATGATATCACTCATCAATAAGGTATTTACAACTTTTACTACAGGGTCCACCATGGAACTATGTATAGCACAAAACAATCTATTTCGTACATTTTGGCGAGTACAATAGACAAAAATGGGATCTCTATACAATACAAACATCCTGTATTGCCACAATGACACTTTTTGACATAAATAACGTGTTAAGCCAAAACATAAACAACCAATAAACGGTACGCCAAACATGCCAGAGGGCCAAAGGAGGTGTCTCAGCTTGTGCGGCCTGAAACGGTTGCATTCGCAGACAGCGCTGTTTTCAGCTACCTCCTTGTCCATAAGATCTTAGGCGGGTGCGGGGATCTTAGGGCCTAAAATCAATTATAAAATTTTGAAAACCGTTATTCTATATTATTTAATAATAAAATAATTATAATAAAAACTGAATACAGAGTGCATAATACGCACGATGTACATACCATGCTCATACTTAACTCAATTTAATCCTGTGTTAAAGATGGCATATTAAGTTCCACCATAATTATAATTGAATGTCTCACAGACAAAACTGTCCTACAAAGAACGAGCATCCCGCGCCCGACAAAGTGACGAATGGCTACGTGGTAGGAAAGTAAAGGCATTCTACTCTAATGTGCACGGGTTCAACTTCGAGTTGGGTGCGCGTGCGCTGGTGCAGGCCGCTGGCGTCGGCAGACTTGCGCCCAATGTTCTGCTTATGGGATTCAAAGCTGATTGGACGACAGCCCCTTGTCAGGACTTAGTTTCTTACTTCAATGTGTTGCAGTAAGATCCATATTTTATTATTATTTTCATGAGTGTCATATCTATACAGGATAACATTATTCAAGATAAAGCATTAATTTAAAATTTTAAACAATTAGTGAACAAGATACAACTGAATTTGACAAAACTTGTTCTGAATTAAGAAAGTGAGCAAACACTTATATTGAAATCCGTATCATCACTAAATTCCATTACCAACAATTGCCAGTTATCCAAGCGTAAGTTAATAACCTATAAATATAAATAAATATTTGACAACATCATGTACGTTGTGCTGACCCCAAAGTAACTAAAGAAAATATTGAAAAATTAATTTTCTACATTGACCTGGCCAGGGATCGAACTCGGGACCTCATTGATGGCCAACACCATGAAAACCGGCGTGCAAGCCGCTCTACCACGGAGGCCGTCAAATTATACCGCACACTGATCACAAGTATCCTTCAAGCATAATAAAAGTAACAAAATGACATTTGTTACCAGTACGGCATTCGAGAACAAGCTGGCAGTAGCAATAGTCCGCGTACCTGGCGGGTTGGACTACGGGTGCGTAGTGGCAGAGGAAACGCCGAGCAACGGTCTGACAGCCACGTCGAGTGGCTCCGGCGAATTGCGAGCTTGCTTGAGGTTGCCGCACACGCAGATGCTACACGCCGATTCTGACTTGGACATCAGTTCTACACCAAAGAATAATCTTACAAGTAATTTTTTTCAACTCACTTTTCAGTGCTAACATGACTTTTTACATTAATAAATTCAGGTAATACCTACTTTGCGAAAAATCATGTTAATAAAAATTAAGTAAATTACTTATGGAATAGCAAAGCACTTTAATTCGTATGAGTTTTTACGTCTGATACGACATACTTGAAAGCGAAAACTTTGGTAGATAATATAATTAATGATTACAGATTGTGCATGCAAATCTTTATGTGTAAATAACATCTAATGCACTTCTAAATATGAAATCTGTGAAAAATAAATTCAAAGTGACATTTGCTCTAGTTTCTAGCAAGGCAATATTTTCTAACAACAATTGCGAGTAGTTGTGGTATAATAAATCAATAAAAAGTCGCAAAAGTCAATAGCCTATTAAAAACTCCTATTAACCAATGACGAAACATTAACCTTTTTGCTTATTGGCCCCTTTTGGATTTTCACAGCACAGAGGTTTCAGCTTAGTAATTTTAGAGGATGCCAAGTTTTGCTATTCTATTGTGAGGAAGTACAAGTTTTCGTGTTAGATTTTGAATTTTGATGTTGCAGAACCGTTGAGTTTCTTGAAAATAACATATCGATATAGACAATTGTTGATACGCCCTTAAATTGTCATCTTACGTTATTGCTAGTTAAATCACAAAAAACACCTATTAAAGGAGAATTAGCATAATTTTAAGTTCATTTAAAATTTGTGGGTTTGCGAACGAACGGGGATAGGGTATCATATAGCGAGACAAAATACTTAAGGCAGTTGAAGACAATGCGACTAGTGGTTCCTTCGTCTAACATTCACAAATCGAGCTGTCCCTTACACTAATTTTCGCTAAATATACTTACTTTAAATTAGTACGAAATTCTGAGGACAGCCCTAATTTGGTCAGGATTAGGATCTCATAATCTTTAGAACATATTCCATTAACACAATAAACGATTTAAATTGAAACTACTTATAATATTTCAACAGACATGATATCTCTAACGACATCACGTTCCTTTACAATATCGGAGTGCAAAGACAAAGATAAGAAAAAGGAGAAAAAGCCGCTGGATATGCATCGGCAGATCGTCTACAAGACTTCCAATGGAACCGAATTGTCCAAGGACCAGTTGTCACAAATGTCAATTTTCCAAAAGAAACAGGTAAAATCGACTTTCGTTTGAATATATCATGAAATCCTTTTTATGTACATGCTTCCCTCTACACATCATTTTCTTAACTTAAATAGCACCGCATACAAAAAATGTCAGTACATTTGTTACTGTATATTGATTCAATATAAAATGTTAAATGTATTTAAAACATTGAATTTTGTCAGTACATTGAATTTTTCTTGCGTTTTATACTTCTCTATGGAAAAGGAGTGCCTACTCCTTACAACTACACAGAAAGCACTTGGAAATCGCACTGTAAAGCCCGTAATTGATTTTGTAAGATCCATATAGCGAAACGGGGTAACCTAACATGTTCTAATATTTAATTTTCGGTAAACGCTGTTACTGTCCATGAAAGGGTTAATGATTTACACAAGTTATGAAAGGGTTAATGACTTACACAAGTTGTAATCCACCCTAACATATTCAAAATTAAATAAAATGCTTCTGGTAACTAATCTGAATGCAAAGGCTAAAGAAGTTAGAATTACCACTTGCTATTCTACGAAGTTTAAAGAAATGAATGGGTTTACTAACAAAGCAATTATTTAAGGTCTAGCTTTGTGAATAATTGCACAGCATCTAAAAAGAAAATTATTAGCAACAGTAGAGCTCCTAATGAAAGGGTTCGTCTAAGGGAGTGCTTTACTTTAAGTACGTATCACCTTACCTATTTCTGCCGCCAAGCAGAAATGTTAGCATTACTGCGTTCCGGTTTTGAAGGTGGTGATGAAATTACAGGCACATGGGACTTGTCAACTTATGTCTCTGGGTGTCGGGAGCAGTGGTTGTGCCTCTAAGATCTATGCAACTTTAAGCTCTGAGTGGCACTGCAACTGTTATGGGCAGGAGTGTCTCTTAACACTAGGTGCACGACTTGTTCGTTCCGTCACATTATAAAAAAAAATTGTGTACAGGAGTCAGGCACTCTGGACGTGTGGTGGCTGTATGACGACGGAGGATTAACGATCCTACTTCCGTACATCATATCGCAGCGTTCCACGTGGGGCAACTGTAAGCTCAGGATCTTCGCGTTAGCTAACCGGCGCCACGAGATGGAACTCGAGGAGAGAAAGTGGGTGTTACTAAATGTTGAAAAATTTTAGCCCTGCTAATTTACCATATTCAAAACGTCATTTACATAATTTTATATGAACATTTTGTTATATCGAGAAAATGATAACTCACATTGGTAACCCGTAATTAGTGATATTATATAATAATGAATCATAATATAAATTATTAATCATAATATAAATATAAATTATTTAATCTTTTTTTTTTATTCGATGCACTGGATACAATTGTAAAATAAGGTGAAAGCGTTTGATACACATAATGATATGAAAAGTATGTACCCTACTTGGTGTGAACACAATAATTAAACTTCATTATAAAAAGTGCGTAAAAATATGTATATATATTTTTTTTTTCTACAGCATGGCGAATCTATTGTCCAAGTTTCGAATAGACTACTCTTCGCTAACAATGGTGCAAGACATCACTGAAGCGCCTCAGGACAATACGAAGAAACTGTTCGAAGAAGTTACTAAGAAATTTACCGATGAGTCTGCTAGCGAAGGTAATGCAGTGTTTAATTACGTCATCAACTAAATATCTCACAGTTGGAAACATGTTTCCTCTTGCAAATGTTTACTGAAGAAGTACTTCGGTATCATTGACATTTACTTATTAGTTGTACATATTATAGGTTTTAGACAGTAGGCTTTCCTGTTTTCGTCAATTTATATAGACGAATAAGATTTTTTCTTTTTAAGCTAGTCGATGCAAAATAACTATTTTATAAAAAACGGCAACATACGGGGATCTAAGATAAACGGACAGGAAACTTGTATCGAAAAAAACAGATGTGGGATCGTACAAGGATATTTAGGAAAGAGCGTACCAATAGCAGCGAATTAAGATGCTGTTCAAAGCTCTTAAATATAATAACAAAATTAAAACATAATAATCTACATATTCCAGAGTGCCGCATAAGCGAGACGGAGATGCTGACTTTGGCGGGCAAGACGAATCGGCAGCTGCGGTTAAGGGAACTGCTGCTCGCCAACTCCAAAGACTCTAGGCTAGTTGTCATGTCGCTGCCGATGCCTCGCAAGGTCTGTTATCATATTATTAAACGGAATATACTCCATATTTTTACTAAAAATTTCCCTAAAATTGAGGTCATATAGTACCTATTTATTTTGACACAATATGCGGGTTATCTAACTTACCATATCAGCTTGTAGGTACACGAAAATTTTTGTAGTCATTGATTGTACGACTTGATGGCGATCTCTGTAGTCGTGTGGCTTGTTTTCATCGTGCCACCATCTCTGAGGTCCCGGGTTCGATTCCCGGCCGGGTCAATGTAGAAAACTAACTTCTCTATATTGTACTAACTTTTCTGAGTGTTTATGATACCTTCGTTGTTTCCGATTTGCATAACATACATCCTTTAATAGTTACTTACTTTGGGATCAGAGCAACTTATGTGATGTTGTCTGAAGTAAGTAAGTAAAGTGTAGTAAATATGGGAGATGCCATACGGGCGTTGCGTCGTCGCAACTGCGATGATTTTAACGGACAGAGTGCCACACGAGCTGGTCCGTCGACACATGCTGTTTCAACGCACCATGTGGCATGTCGTTCTGATTTATATGTAGTACAACGTGTGCGTGTGGCATCTCGCTATGACCTGTCATAGGGAGATGCCACACGCAGTAATAATATTTTTTTAGGATTCGGTGTCAGCACCGTTGTACATGGCGTGGTTGGAGATGCTGAGTCGAGACCTACCACCAGTCCTCTTTGTGCGCGGCAACCAGACCTCCGTGCTCACCTTCTACTCTTAGGTGTAGCAATGGACTCTTACTTCCCGCTTACTACTTAACTCGTGCAAACTGGCCATTGAAAAACGCGTGAAAACGCGTGAAAAAGGCATGAGAAAGGTCTGCTGAACTCATCACAAACTATGTGAAAATTGGGACTGAATATAAACGCCGTGTCCAAGTGAATTTGTGATATTTAATAGATACCATGTTTGCCCTTAAGAAAGTTTGTATCGTGTTCTCGCTGGTTGTACGATTGTTGGCTGCAAACCTGAATTGATTGACATGAGACAGTTTAAATAGCCTCGACCATTCGACCCTATTCACTCCCCGACTTTCCTTACACATTGTTTAAGTAGACGGCGTAAAAAAGTGACATTGAAATTATGATAAGGTATTCTACTTCTATCCCTGTGTGCTGTAAGTGCTACACTGTAACCAGCCTTATAAGAGTACAGGCAGCATAGTAAGTATTGTGAAAACCAACAACAAAAGGTGGCTAGAATTATTTTGGCTTGAAACATGATTTAGGCAAATATTGTTGTAACAATAATACTAACACTAGGAAAATGTGACATGTAATTAGTAAATTATTTAATTAGAGCTGCACTCGAGATGTAAATAAAATATTATACAGAGTCCCTAGCGGTCAGAAAAGTACCTTTTGTACACTAATATTTTATTCGGTCGTTAGCGAAAACTTGTGCTAAACTCATTGTAGCAGCTGAGTTATATTATGATCTTTGCCGTGTTACGGAATTTTCAAGACCTAATTTCATCTACTGATACAGTAAAGACAAAAGCGAATATTAGAGCTATTATTTCAGTGTTCATGGTATTTACCAATTTAAATTTAGAACTATTGTAGAAGTCCTGAAGTGGCGCGACTGTAGCGCTTCAGTAATTTTAATTGACTAATAATTGTGACTGCGAAAGGGGCACGCACGTGTCACGACAGTGGCCCTGCAACTGCACTTGTAAATATTACACGAAAATTAACAGTGGCGCCGCTCCTGCTCTTCTAAAAGCGTCTATTTCAAGGTGCTCTTAGTAAGGTGATGGCCAGCCAGCGGTTTGCCATGCAAAAGTACAAAATGATATTATGAATAATAATAGATAATATTGTATTATTTTGTGAATTTTAAGTTTTGCTTTAACTTATATATACATTAATCGATCTAATCGATGGGAAAACTATCACAGCACTTTATATTTAGCCAAAGCTAGCTATGTAAGTAGTAATTATTTCTTAATTAAAATAAGTGAAATTGTAATAGTAAAGGTAATCTGTGTAGGCGTCTTAACGAAGCCTTCTAAGTAATCTGTTTTGACAGATTTTACATTAATATTGTGACAATATCATTATGCAAAGGTAATGACTAAATACCACTTATAATAACTTTCATAATAGTACCTAATAAAAAATTCTAAACCGTTAACGCATTTCATAATAATTACGGCTGAAAGATCTATGATGATCTGATCTATGATCTATCTATCTATATATTTGTTCGTATTTACATTAATACATTTTTGTACGATAAAAGAAATTGGTCTAATTTATGTACCTACATTGTACCAGTCAAAGCATACCAAGTGTAGCCAAATAGATACCTATTCCAACATACTTTCCACAGTTGTGCAAGGGTTTCTTCTTACGGGACAGTATCTAATTGATTAAATTTAGAATTATGACTTTTATGTACCATTGATGTTTTTAAATTTGCAGGTAAATTCACTAACTGAAACAAATTTTAGTGAAAAATTATTTTTTGTTTTGATGTATAATTTGTATATAAAAGTATAAATATAAAGTTCTGTGTTTTGTTGTAGGCGACTAGCATTACTAATGCTATTTTAAGGAGTGACATGCTATATTTCACTTATTTTAATGGCTACCCAAAAGGCTTTTGTTGACGTCCTACAGAAAAAAATACAAATGAAACCTGAAACCTGTGTAATCACATAACTGAACTGTATCCTAAAGAAGTGACACCTTGCAATTAAATAATTTTACCTAACAACGTGCAATTTAAGAATAGTAAATAATTTATTAAGATTAATACATAATTATTTATTAACTTTGTATGACAAAAGACAACATATTTTTCCGAATATTAAATTACTAATTCTGACACTAACGCTTTTCTTTTACTAGTGAGTGTTGTTTTTTTAACCGACTGCAAGAAAGGAGGAGGTTCTCAATTCATCTGTATGTTTTTTTTGTATGTATGTTACGCGATAACTCCGCCATTTATGAACCAATTTTGATGATTCTTTTTTTGTTGGAAGAAGGTACCTCAGATATGGTCCCATTTAAATTTCAAGAAAATATTCCACCTCTGAGTGTGGACTTAACTAGGGGATGAATGACTTTTGAGGTCGGTGAGGTTTTTAACCGGAGGTTAGGTTATTTAGTACTCTGTACTGAGATTATTCATGTTTAAAGTTTTAAACTGCAGTTGCGAATAGAATTTTCCATCAATCTTGAAGCACATTATGTTGACATTCAAGCTGCAGAAACCCAAATGTCATTACACTTTAATTAACATCACAACGTTTCTGTTTTCGTGACGATGAATTGACCGCCAGTTTCGAAACCACGATACTTAAATACTCCAATTGAACTAAACATAAATAACAGTACTTACACGCAGGGAAGCAGAGAGTAACCGCAATGCGCCTTTCAGCGCGTTCAAAATTGGATACGAAACACAAAGTAAGAGCGATTCACACGATGCGTTGCGTCAGACGTTGCGACCTACATGCCACACAAGGCGTTGAAACGGCGCGTAGTGAAGGAACGCGTGCGCATCAGACAAGGGGTCAAGAGGTGAATCGAGGAGGGGTGCTGCGGTGCATAGCGGCGACAGCGCGGGGCATTACGTTACGTCACCGCATCGCTCATGTGGCACTCGGTGCGTTGAAACGACGCGACGCACCAGCAGCGCACATGTGGCATCGCTCTTACATACCACAACCGGTGATCAGGCTTCTCTTTTTTTTTCATTTGAGAATTAGTTCACGTAACATGAAGACGGCGGTTACCTACTGTTTCAAAAGAGACTAATTAATGAAGCTGACGTTAATTCGCAGAAATACAATAGATGGTTAAAATGGAATGAGGCTCTTCTAAACACAAAGATTGGTCTGTCTGTGCCTTATGGTGACGATAATCGAGAATTTGAAATACGGTTAGTTAAATAAAAAGTCGTACTTAGTCCGTTGTACTCGCACAAAACTCGTTTTACTGTCCACGCTGGAACAAGCTATTTTTCAATTTCCAAATCCACAACTTATAGCCTAGATAATAATGATGACACCAAGGAAAAGTCGTAAACCATTCAGTTCTAGTTGCAAAATTTTAATATTATCTACATAGTAAAATGTAGTACTTACTCGAATATAGTTATTATATTTCAATTACTATTACGTTGGAATATGGCACATTTATGACGGCGTTCGATCATAACAGGATGGCAATAGTAATAATTCCCAAATTTATAGTATGTGATTCCTCGTAAGATCTTGATGATTTTTCCTTATCTTTTTTTTCTCCTGACCTCATTTTAAAATAAAAACATATTAGTTAAAAGAAATACCGATAATACAAACCTCCTAAAATTCAAATTAATTTAGGCTAATATTTAACATTTTAATTATTTAAACATGGCAATGATATTATAAAAATCATTGTTACATGGACGTATTTTTACTATATGCTACAGCAAAAAAATTACGCCATTATTAGTACAAGGGCGGCAGTCAGTAGGCAATTAAGGACAGAGGGTCATTCAAAGGTTTTAATGGCCTGAATGTTTGTAATTGCCGCTTCGCCCGTATGGCATACAGTGATTTTCACGCTCGTACATAGATAGCTTTGTTTTCATCACGTTATTACTTTCACACAACTATAGAACCACCAGCTTATAAGGGTAACAAATGACCGTAATTTATTTTAACTAAAAATTAATTCATTTATGTACAGTCAACGGCACATCAAGCTATAAACACTTTTGTTGGAATATCGCCCGCAGAGCAACAACGGAACCTTGATATGCTGCCATCCGTACAAACTTCCTTTTTTTCCATCCTCTAAGGTACAAACGAACTACAAAAACCTTAGAGGATGGAAAAAACCCGCAATTTTTTATCTTTTCATCACACTTGCGAGGAAGTTTCTTGAAAGAGATTAGATATACCTACACTTAAATACGCGATAGTTTATTCATATTGTATTAACAAAAGCGGACGTCAGGCCTAGAAAGTAAAACACAAACACCATTACCTGAACCCATATGATAAACACAATGATAGTATGAAACTATAATGTAAATACCTTTCTTTGTGTATGATCCTGGTTGGACGGTATATACAATGGCATTATACACTTCAAAAATCATTTTCAAGGTGAGAGTGAATAGGCATTATTTAGGGCGCGTGCATTCTCTATCGTCGACCTCATCGTCACTTTCCATCAGATGAGTTGGAGGTCAAATGCGCACTTATTCTATCATGATAAAAAGGAACAAATGAAAAAACTGAAATGAATATATTACAAGTTTTCTTTTATTTCACACATATTTCACAAAGGTTTTTAATTTAGTTTCAAAACAAGAATAAAATAATTAAAATATTTACAGATACAAGAACCAACAGTTAATTCAGATTAACAATTTCTTTAGTATATACTCGTAATAGAAAAGAGAGCAATGCATTGGTGACAACACAATCAACAAATATTTTAGAGTAACTTATGTAACGCGTATATCCAAAACCCCTAAATATATACAGAATTATTATTTTTGAACCTTTTCCCATTTAAAGATTCTTGCAAGGAAGGAAACGAAGCACATGTTGAAATCAAAAATACTAAGGCGATATGTTAGTTACGTGATAGGACGGCGATTTAAAATATACTTTCTGTCGTAGATATGTTGCCATGATTCCAAAATAAATAATTCTCTACTATTTTCATGATACAAAGTTAATAATTGCTAATTAGTAAATTTTTCTAACATTATAGGTACTCTGAAATGGAAAATTAGTACTTACAACAATTCATTTTAAATATCAAATTGGTTAAAATATAAATTAGCGTAAAATTATAGTAATAGAGTAATACATATATTTTTTTGCGCCGTTCTTAACATTTTGGAGCATATATTACATTATCAGTCTATCTATAGTATAAATATTAATTTGTAAAATTCGTAGTGATGTCTTGAATGGCTTCAGTGCAAATTGGACATCAACTTTGCCGGCGTGGAAAGGCGAAGTACCGAGTGTGATCAGTAACATGTATTTAATTGAGATTTAAAGCGTTCATAACATTGGCATTAAATTTTCATTACCATCACATAAAAAGCGTCAAATACAAATTTACCGCACTAAATTCTGAAGTCGAGGCTCTGGAAGTCCGAGTTGCGAGTTTACGTGGAAGTTGACCATGGTATTGTTAATCCATGTCATTCTAAAATGTTTCACATTTATTTTTTATTTAACATTTGAAAAGTAATCTTAACAGTTTAGATATATTCCATATGCTCGTACATTCAAATTATGTCAATGGCAGTCTGTATTTGAATTATCGAATACATTTCGACGCTGATGTAAATGTAAAGCATCTATCGTGCATTTCGAAAATATTACAGGAGAGCAATTTAAAATATTTTTTTAAGAAAAAGAAAATCATAACTTAGGCGTGGGTTACACACGGCGACTTTATCGATGCAATCGCACGCTTGCGTCGTGTTTGCATCGCTGCTCTGCTGCCGCCGTGCGTTTCAGTGTGGCAGAGTACATATTATGAATTCGTATTATACAAAAATTCTCGCGCCCGGAATGCTTCCGCGGCCGCCTCTGTATGGCCTAAGCATTAGAGTTATAAAATTAGATTTTATTTGTTATATGGAAAACTAAAACGTTCCAGCTTTTCCATGTAACAAATAAAATTAGATATGATTTTCTTTTTCTTAAAAAAAAAACTTTGAATCGCTCTCTTGGAACATTTTCCAAATGAATGATAGACGTTTTACCTTGCCAGTGTAGATTTGAATGAAATGAATTAACAACGCCGTTTGATACTATCGTTACACAGGAATAGCTCCGAAGATTAGACTTTAGTATTTACTATTTAGAACTGTAGAATTTTCGTAACTTACAGCAATATATGAACGCGACTCGCGCATGAAACTCGAATCCATCGTCTTCCCCCACCGAACTGTAGCAATTATAAAAATGTGAAACACTTCACGATGAATCAGCGAATGAAATATTCAGATGAGATGCGATGATTGTTATCCTACCAGCACCTCCATATAAAACTTGTATCAAACCTTGACATGGCTACAGTATACATTTCAATTTCATCCCATTGTAATAATAAAGGCATAATTTATTGAAACTATAAACATAACTACATAAATTACAGACAAAAACTTCACACAGCCATACTTCTTACATAAATAAATAATAAAACCCTACTTTATGGAAATATTTTTGGTTACAAAAGATTTTTTTTAAATATATGCAAAATAAATACTCAAATCACAAGTTTCCTTCCATGTAATTGATACTTATAATTCATCGTAATTCAGTTCTTATTTCTTTTGCAACAGGAACGTTTTCATATTCGTATGTATTTCATTTAAGTAGTTCACTAGGACTTACTCTAGAGCGGTGTTTATTTTCACTTTTGCGGCAACTTCGAAACGCACATTATTCGAGCTCAAGCTAAGAAATAAGAAATTCTCGTTTTAAAGTTGTCGCAGAAAGCGATATAATTTGGCCAAAGAGGGCGCTACAATATAATGGACACTCGTTTCACTGTACACTGAGCAGTTCCGACTATATCACAACGATCTGACCGATGTTCCGAGCGAGAAAATGATTTTTAAACTAATGAACACATCTCTCAATTTGTGCATGCATGGTTCACTCGCGCGGTCTTTGGTCCGTTCACTGAGATCCTATATGACACAGGGCGGGTTCCGGTAAACTTCACTTCAGACTATAACATAGTTCGATAGGAGCAAAGACTTGCGCCCTCTTCTGGTTGCCGCAACTCCGCACTTTGTTAGTTCAAATATTATATTCGAGACGATTTTATAGGGTTCCTTCGGTGGGTATACTATAATTATCAAATTTTAGTATAAAAAATGAACATAAGAAACAGGGCAAGAACGATGTAGCCGATAGGGGCGGGAGAGTTGCAGCGCGGCGGAGACGGCGGCGTTAGAGCAGGACGCAAGTGTCGGTGCGCACCAGTCTTCAATCAGACTCGTCCTCTTGCTCATCATCGAACCCTGTCAGGTCAGCAGATTCTATGTGGCCTTGTAAGACCTGCAACAAATTAGTGGAAGTCGTACAAAACATTTAAGACAAAAAAAACCTTTCTCTATTTTTTACATTGTGTATTTATTATATATACATAATACACAATACATAATACAATAATTGTGTATTATGTATAATAAGTAGTGGTCGGATATTCGAACGCTTTTATACGTAAAGTACACTTTATGAATTGCAGTAGGAATATGGAAGCGGCTTCTTAAAAAAAAAACATTTTTTTTTCCTGGGAGGTCGGAATGGCGGGGCATGTTACGATTATTTTTTTTTTTGAATACACACACACGATTGGCTCACCAAAAAAAGGTCTGATGTATAAATAAATAAAATAAATAAATAAATGATGATCAGAAACATATCAACTGGGCCTTAGTACTGTGAACAGCTATAAGTATCAAATATAAACTTATTAGTTAAAATATGATACGATAGCACCATGGTTTTAGTAATTCTTTAATAAAAACTACAAAATTTAACAAAACATACAAAAGTTAATTTAAATGTTACATAAAACTACAAACAACATCTAGAACGTCTATTTTTCTTGAATTTTATACTTAATAATTTCGTCAATCGCAAAGTGGCTGGGTTTTTTCGATACAACAGCGCATTCTATATTAACGAGCACCGAATTAAGAGTATAAGCATGCAATTATCCGACCACAAATTATCAGCGTTGCGGTCGTACTAAAGAGAGAAGTCGAAGGAAAGTAGGGCGTGGATACTGACCGCGTACTCGATGAGCGCGAGGTGGCAGAAGACGTACTGGTCGGGCATCTGGATAGAGTGCGCCCGCTGCGCGCGGATGCGCTCGACGGTGCCGCGCACGTCCACCAGCCCCTCGGCCGCCAGGCGCGCCGTGCAGATGTCCAGCGTCAGGAATGTGCCTGCGCACAGCCGCTCTCTCACTCAACCACACGTTTTCTCACTCTTCCAACGAACATTTGTATCGAAACACTCATCACCCCTCATGGAAGAGTGGCATAAGTGGAGTTACGTCAAAAATGTTTATTGCTCCATTAAATACAGAAATACATAGCGCACATCCTCTCCAATACTTGTAACTCTATCTACAATACTAGTAGATAGAGTTAATAATAATAATACTTTTTATTTCTCCACAAAATACAACAACAAATAAGAAGTACATAAACAATCTTAGTAATTTTAGAACAGTATTTTGTAGGAGCTGGTGCTTGCTATAAGTTTAACACCTGTGCTACAAGTCACCAGGCCCCAACCCTTGCAAATGAAACATATGTTACTAAGTATACATATACCAACCACAAATTATATGTATGAGAGAAAAAAAAAATGACAGAAATTAGAATATTCATATAAAAAAAAATAAGAGAGAAAAGCAGAGTTACAAGAATTAGAGAGGTTATAACCCACATGGTTATTTTTCTGTATTTAATGGAGCCATCGAGTATATAACCAGAAATAGAGACGAAATAAGGGCCATATATTCCTGTTAACACATTAGCGATACAGCTCTTATAAATATCAACTTCCGTTTGCACTGAAATATAGTCAGGCCAATTACTGACCTGTGTGTACGTCTCCATATATTGCAAAAAATATTCTGTATTTATTGTAATAACGATAATATCTGTAACAATGCCGTGCTGTTCTATTCGGTGGTGTGGGAAAAACTGCAAAACATCTAATTACAAAACAAACGGAATCACATTTCATCGGTAATTAAATATTAAATATGTAATTTTGCAATTTTCGTCAAGCTCAAGTAACTGGTCGATTTGAAGTGAAACAGTTGACGACACCCGTCTGTTGTTTCGAACTCGAGCTAGCCAATCGGAGCACAGTTGTCACAGTAATGATATGGCAGAAGTTTTCAAACAACTAAATGACATTTCGTCTCTATTTCTGGTTATATACTCGATGAATGGAGCAATAGTTGTTGACGTAACTCCACTTAAGCCATTCTTCCATGAGGGGTGCAAACTATGACTCATGGACCGTTCATTAGCTTACGACCACTTAATGACCAATCAGTTTTTTATTATTAATAAGTTTAATATAACAATCGCACACAAAGAAAACTTCCATGGAGCTGTCAGGACATGAACCTGTTTGTGTGCACTCAAGGGCAACGAAAGAAATAGTCGGTCTTTGTACCAATAATTATAACATACTATTGAATTAATTTCACAGAAAATAAATTAATATCATAGTAGTAAAAAATAATGATATTCAATAAAATCGATACAATTTTTTTTAGATCTACGCTCAACGTCGTCACAAAGTTGGAACACAAAGTGTTATCTTAATTTCAACTCGTAATGAGTATTACTAAATTACCTGTTCGACCAATACCAGCTGAACAGTGCACAACGATCGGGGGTCCTTTACTATGTCCGGCCCACGAGTCGCCCAATCTGAAATTAAAAATAATGATCATTGTTTCCTTCCGTATTTAAAAATCTACTACAAAACTCACAAGTTAATTATGATTACCACAGTTCACAATAAGTCTCACGAAAAATTACATTTTGTTGCCCAATGGAGCCTTATAACAGCGAAGAAATCATTTAATAATCGTTTTTTTACCGTCAATGTTGCGTATATTTTTAAATATGTTAAGAAATGCTTAACGCGATTTACAATCTTGTCGCACAAAATAGAAAAAATTTGGCGTGAAGTTGAATCTTTATTTACTTATTTCATATAATAAACGGTACGTAACATAATAAAATCTAACATATGAACAATTTCGTCTTGAGATGTTGTATAATCTCAGTACAAAGTACTAAAAAACCGACCTCAAAAGTTCGTGGACATCTATTTGCCAAGTTTTATTGAAATCGCTTACCGGAAACTGCGCATTATCCTGATTCATTCAAACTAGTTTCCCATGCTTAGAGGTGGAATATTTTCTTCAAATTTAAATGGGACCAATACCGAGGTACTCTCTTTCTAACAAAAAAAGAATCATCAAAATCGGTTTACAAATCACAATACAACACAATCACAAAAGGCCATAGTTATCGCGTAACTAAAGAAAAAAAACCAGTCGAATGGAGAACCTCTCCTTTTTTTTAGAAGTCGGTTAAAAAGAATGTTTCTGTAAGTATTTTTTGAATGAGCCGTTGGGCTAAAGGGTGAGCGCTTACTCTGCGACGGCGGCCTGCTGCGCGCGGCGCACGTGTCTCAGGAAGCGCAGCACGGGCATGGCGCGGCCGCCGCCCGGCACGCCGTAGTCCGGCCAGCGCGTGTACTGCCCGTGCCACACGCGCCGCCACTGCTCCGTCTGCAATCACCATTCGTGTAAATCAATTCCTGCATATCGACAGCTATCTACAATAGCGGCTAATCTCAAAAACGCCTGACTCATCAGAAAGATGGTTTTTTAGAATTGAGGCGTAAGAACCAATATTGTTGGAAAGCAAAGTGTTTGACCGCGTAGAATAAAATAACGCGACATCACCATCGTATAAAGCATTGTCCGCGTGAAAATACGAAGCCTTTGTTGCTACCATAAGTTTACGGCGTAAAATATTCGCAGCGCCCCGCTAGCGGTCAAAAGAATTAAAATGTCCAATATAATTAAAGCGGTCGCTAGCGATTATTGACGCCGTGAAACCACGACAGACATATGAAATTAAAGGCAAGCAAAAATACATTCCGAGGAATAGAATGAATGAATCCATAAACATTGAAAACTGACATCAATACCATATATCGATCGTAGTCACAGAACAATAAATACAGTGGAAGCGCTTAGAGGGCGGGATACGTGTGCCAACAGTAGGCGCAGTTCCACATACTTGAACTCAGGCATTTTCGTTTTGTATGTTATGGTCGTGTCAACTATCTCACGCAAAACCGCGAAAATCGTGGAAATATGCGTTATTTTGCTACTTTGATATGCAAAAATAATAGTCGCACCTGTAATATCTGTGGCTTGGTTCAAGAAGTACCTAAGACCCTATTACTCTACCCACTTCTTGTACACACGCCAGCACATCAAGCTACACATTGACTTATCTTGTTCCGTCGCACTGGAGGCGATTTTCGAACAAAAATGTGTAGTCTGATGTACCGTTGTCCGTACCAAGTCACTGATCGGACCATGGGTACATGGTCGTGTTTCATATCATCATAATACATTTTCCATTTTGTTTATCGTAATAGTTTTTTTTTTGTTATAAGAAACGAAAGTAGACCTTATGCCGCTGCAATATGGTCAACTTTTTTTGGAGAGCGTCAGTCGTTCGTCATCTTTCAGCTATTGCCGCTAGATAGATTGCACATTAAATGTGAAACTTCGATATAAAAGCAAAACGTCGTAACTTGCAATAATGGGTATTGAACTTTCAACGATATGCCAACTGGGTAAAATTGAAATTTTAAGAACAACAAAAAAAAATTATAAGGACAGTCTTAGTAAGATTTCATAGTGTTTAACAAATGTGTGAGCTTTGGCGACAACAGTTCTGATAATAATCGAGGCTTAGGCTTCCATTGTTTTCTTTCTTCCGTGATGGTAGTCGTAGCTGAAAATGAAAATGTAAAGAAAAGCGACGCACCCTTAAATCCGTGAGCACTAAATGCGAAATGGTATAGTCATCTTCAGTGTCCACAGCTTCAGTGGTGACGGCATATCCGCCATGCACGGCTCTGGCGCCGATCTCAAGCGGCCAGTACTGGCCGCACTTGACGCGGCCACGCTCGACCGAGCGCGTCGTCATCACAATCACCAAGCTGCCTTGCTCCCATACCATGCGCCAAAAGTCGCAGAACGTTTTTGGAAGAGGACCTGAAACATGTTTTAAATCAATCAACAAATGTTTATATTATTATTATCTACACTTCATTTATCACTAATATTTTACTATTTACATATTAACCCGTTATGGACAGTAACGGCGTTTACCGTAAAATTAAAATATCAGAATATATTACAATACGGTGTACGTACCCCGTTTAACCATATGGATATCAGAAAACTAACTACGGGCTTTACAGTACAATTCCCAAGCGCTTTCTGTGTAGTTGATGCCCACTGTTTCTCCAAAGAGTCGAATTTAATATGATGCATGTCTTAATTTTAGACACAAAATCAACACATACGTCAGACTTGTCGCACTTAACTATACCATGGCATAAATTTAGAGCTGTACTATTTTTGCATATCGTGGTTTTCGCGGTACAATAATTTGGAAATAGCGTTCCGTGGACAATTTGGATTTCTACGAATAAACTTGAAAACAGTATCGTGCGTACAGTATGCGCGCGGCGAATTCACGGAACAGTAAAATTAAAAACAGGAAACGTAGGAATATACTGAGTAGCAGATGTGCCATCCGGCTACCAAGAAGTCGGAGGTCATGTCATGTCAGTAACAGACGGAAAAAAGAAATTCCTTTTCAGAACAAATAGGTTTTGCGCACGATCCGTTTTAAACTCCGTATTATAAGGCATTTTTTTGTGAATTCTAAAAATACTCAAGCATACTTCGCTTACGTTAACAAACATGATCTTTAATTATAACACATCTCCGACACCCGGACATCTCCGAGGTCCCGGGTTCGATCCCCGGTCGGGTCAATATACAAAACTAATTGTTTTACATTGTCTCGGGTCTGGGTGTTTATGGTACCGTGTTTGTTTCCGATTTCCATAACACAAGTGCTTTAGTTAAGAATTTACTTTGTGATCAGAGTGTAAATTTGTAATCATTCAAACGTAACTAACGCGTTTTGTGTTAAGATTTTTATTTAGATCGTAATTATAAACATATAAGGTTTAAATTAAAATCTTAACGTAAACGCGACAGTTTAGTTTACATGTTTGAAAACTTACACTAAGGTAGGTCCCAGAGCAACATATGTGATGTTGTCTAATATTTATTTATTTGACAAAAAAATGCGACACTGGAGGTTCAACGTGTATATTTTTTATAATACTAAGTGATGGGACTAACAAGTCGTGCGCCTGGTGGTAAGCGACACGCATGTCCAATAACATTTGCTATTTCACTCAGAGCTTTAAATCACAGAGATACTAGATGCCTTAGGGCAGTGCTACTACACCCGTCGCACTAAAAAGTTGACAAGTTCCAAGCACCTTCAAAACCGAAAGCACACACTACTACTTGACAGCAGAAATAGGAAAGGTATTTTTTCCCTGGACGAACGTACGAACGTTCACGAGGAGCTCTACTACAACAATAAAATTTAAAGGAAAGCGTCATCTTAAAATCCTGACACCCACTAACCACACGGGATATCTATTTTTTTAAGAACAAGTAATTCGTCGTATTCCGTAAAAGCTTGAAAAGATTCAGGAACTAAAAAAGTAATTAATTACACATACCCTGCGTGCAAATGAAGGCGTTCTTCTGTTTATATCCGTCGACATAGTTCGCGTTGATGTAGTCAGAGGTGGGGTCATCGGGGTCAATCTGAGAGAGTAGCACGCGTGAGTGATCGTAGCACAACACGTCCGTGTACCGATTCTTCGCTAGGTTACTTGTCAATCTGAAATTATTGTTGTATAACAATTTTATGTTTTAATTATTAAACAAACATCGAACACTTAGAGAAAAATATCGATTATACTTATCGACTGCAATCTTGCTTTCAAGCGGGCAGTACATTGGCGCAACGAACTGTCATTTTACTCAATCTTCAAAAAAGACAAACTATAGTGAAGTATTTTCACTAATAATAGATGAATATCATGGTAGTAAAAAAACATCATGATATTGAATAAAAGTACAATATTACATACAAATTTATTGGAAAAAAATAACTGCTTCCGTGGCCGAACTGTTACCATGCTGTTGCTGGTCTGCCATGCAGAGGTCCCGGGTTCGCTTCCCGAGCCGGGAGGAATATTCGTATGGTCTACATTTATTTCCCTAGTGAGTGAATGTAATTTATGGCTGTCTTTGTCAGGAGACGGGAAAAACTGTAGTAGCTTTTTAAAAAATCGTTTAGAAAATCGTTTGAGCGCATAGAGTTTATGTTAAAAAAGGCTTGCAACTTTGTGTTGATAGCGAAAAGTAAGAGTAGACCACTATAGGTTTTAAGTTAAGTAAGTTTATTTGTAAAACATAAATGGCGGGACTTGAAACTTAGGCACGTTCTAAAAAAGAAATTGTTGAGTATCGAACTGACCAACGCTTACGCTTAAAATAAAAAGCGTGCTATGTGTTCATTTTAAAAAGCAAATTTATTTAAGCGCTTTTCGTTTACGCCCACCTCTAGTCAGGACACAGGGTTTTCCTGACACGGGGCTGTGAGTGTGGGCGTTATAAAAAACCAGTCTTACTTGGCGTGGTGAAAGGTGCCGTTGGGTGGTCTTGCGCGAATCTCCTCGTACTCGGCGAAGAGGCCACGGCGGCCGAGCTGCTGCACGCGTGCCAGCAGCGCCTCAGGCGTCAAACCCGCGCCGCCGCCGCCGCACTCCTCGTCCGACTGTCCTGGCGACGCCTCGCCTGACGACCACGTGCCGCGCGCTGGATCACATGGTCATATCATTCCATACTCCTGCCCTTGCCGTGGTTATTTGCTCATTATGTTCACCGTACCATTTCGCAGCAATTGCTTATACTCGCACTACAAAACTGCCCTCTGTGTCATACATTAGTAACACTTTTGTAATTCGGTAACTTTCGAAATATTGACACCTCAAGTTATTTTTGGTAATAGAAAATGTCGCGTAACTGAAACTAAATGAGGTATAAAAAAACCGATTAGATCTCGTTTCACTGATGCCAGATTATGTTAATAACTAAATTTCGCTAAAATGTTGATTACGTTAATGAAGACAAGGAGGGCAGACAAACAGTTGTACTCGCGACAATACTACGATCAGGACCATTTTGATGACTCGTGTAGATCTTCCCTTAAAATTTTGGGCCACGTCAAAAAAACTTGTCTTTACATTTTGAGCATGGCGAACAATGTAGCCAGCGAAAGACAAATAAGCTTATCGAGATCATACCCAGTCAAGTGCTGTATGGTAACAACTAACCTCGTATTGATAAAATGAGTATAATCCAAAGCATAGCAGATGTATACACAAGCCACTTGCACACATTTAAATACTTGTTCCTATTTTTCTCACGTTTCATAATACTAATGTATAATAGTAAACAGACTCCACTCTACTGTACGCCGATAAAGAATTTTACACTTCAAATTAAAATCCGGAACGGAGTTTTATGGCAATGATTCACATACAGTCAAACCAATAAAACTGACTTGTGTAATAAATTCATTTAAAATTTTGTTAAACTTTAAAATAACCTTCTCGAATGAGTTTTGATCTTATTGAAAATCGTGATTTTTACTACCATAATATGTTTATTTATTTGTGAAATTACTCCACCTTATTATAGCCATTAATACAAAGATCGAACACAAACAAAAATTACTTCGATCTGACATGACGCAGGTTTTTATTATATTGTATTGTTTACACTAATTCAAAATACTGAATATTAAGAATATTTTGACAATTATTTAATGTACGCGACATTTTCAGGTGGTTTTCTTTTTAATTTCGTATATATACTCCCGGACACATAATTCGAGCCACCTTGCATTTTCAATATTAAATTCCCTTAACTTAAACAATGCTTGATTGATCAAGAACTATTATGGAACTTTGAAACTGGCATACTAAACGTTATTTACTTAAATCCTAACTGAAAATTTGAATTTAAAAAACGGGAGAAAACTTTTTCTTCGACGATAACTATATTTTTATATTCCCTTTAAGGATAAAAATGCAAGGTAGCTCGAATCATGTGTCTAAGGGTGTATATTGAGTTGACTGTATTATCGCTCCATAGTTCGAAACAAACGACAATAAAACAACTACAAGAATTACGTGCAACACATATGTGCAAGTGCATTCATTGCGAATGTTTTACTACTTGATATTTCACGAAAACTCAAGGTATTTGCATTCCTTACGTTTTTGTCGCTTTGAACTAACTTGTATTGTTTTTTTTTTCAAATAAACTTAAATACCATGGAATACACTTTGAATCAAATTTGTGTGGAATCTAGAACCATGTCATCATTCCATACATCTTTATTTCACATGTAGTAGTCTTCAATTTTATGATATAACTTTTCAATCAAAATATTTTTAATGTAGTTTTTAAACTTAGGAAATGGTTATGTTAATATATGCTCCGGAATCTTATTGTAAAAACGTATACAGTTCCCAATAAAAGAGTCGTTTACCTTGGTTAAACCAAATCGTGGTATCATGTTTTCGACTTATCTCTAAGGTTAATATTATGGGTATCTTCTTTCTTATTGAAATAATGTATATTTTTCCGAGCATATAAAACATTTCAGTAAATGTACTGTGATGCCACAGCCACGATACCAGTCTCCTTAAACTTTGTGAGAAACGCGAGAAAGTAAACTGTACACAGAACGAATCGCTTGTTATTGCAGTACAAATACGACTTGAATGTCTGCCGCTTTACCCTACTTGAGAATCCCGTAGGACATTATACTATGGAAGTAACTACAGTAAACTAGTCCAGCAGTAATAAGAGCGGTAAGCTCACGTATTCTGCGGACTGCAGCGGAGCTTAATCTGCTTGATGTGACGAACGATTACCGCACGGGGTGTTATCAAAACGTAAAGCACCTAAACACTTGGCTTTTTCCGTAATAATCACAGCAAAACAAACAACAAACTTAGATTTGAACTTTAATCCTATTAGTGTAATCAACCTACTAAATTTAATATTTGCTGAGCTCTATTTCGCCTCTAACAATCCCTATAACACAGTCATAACAAAAACGAATATTTACATCACAGTACGCAATACTAAATTCTGAATTAAATTATATATATAATTAAATTATATAACTTTTAAAGTTAGGCCAAAGGGGGTGTTGATATAGCTAAACCATCATCGGCGATTGCTGACAAATTCCCCTGTAGTAAAAAAAGGGTATCGTGTAAATGCACAACAGCATTTGAATCTCACACAGTTTACCTATGATAGTACCTTCTTTCGTTAAACATTTACCCATGCATTTTCCTCAAAACTTTGACACAATATTATAATAATTTATTTACAAAACATACCAATTGGACTTTTTTCGATATTCATATTTTAATGCCTAAATAAACGATAAAGAAACAATATATATAAATACAAAACGTCTAAAATTTGTCAAAAATGACATAATGTCAACTGTGTTTTAAATAAAACTTTGAAATCCAAAAAAATCTTAGACTATGGAAACCATTTTGTCCCATCCTCTAAGAAAAAAAATATTAATAAAATTAAGTAAAAAGTATACTTTTAAGGTCACGGTCAACGTCTATTGTAGTTTACATTTCATCATCATCATATATACAGCCTGACTTCACCCACTGCTGGGTATAGGCCTCCAAGTTTCTGTGCCATATTTACTGCCAACTAAACTAGGCTGGAAAAGGTTTCAAGCGTAATCTTATTAAGATACTTCATCATCATCATTTCATCGGAAAGATGTGCACTGCTGTTCATGGGCCACGACCGCAAGAACAACCAGTGTGAAAGATCGTCACAACAATAGTCTTGCGTTGCTCGCATTCAGAGGATCTCCGCAACTTTTTCCAGCTCGTAGGAACGACCAGAGACGCAGCGCGGGCAGACCACCTACGACTACGCCGCGTGTTTCGGTATTTAAGACACTTTATTTTAATAAATTAAAGCATAGGTACATGACAAGTTATCGCTGCGGTGATGTTATTCAAAAATATCTCTCACTAGATGTCACTAGCAGCGACAAATGCCAAAAGTCAGTGTACAAAGATCTATAACAAAAACACATAGGAGTATTTCGTAGACTCTATAACTGGACCCGTGGCTCAAATGGTTAGAGCAATGCTACAGTGCAGCATAGACGTGGGTTCAAATCTGAACTGAAGAAGTTTTTCTGTCTGTTCGTTCGATCTTAGTATTCATAATCATAAAGCATTGTCATGTTTCTCCAAAAGACAAAAAGTCAGCTTTAGAAGTCAAAAGGCAGCCATTACAGCTTTAATTAAAGGGTTCGAAATTATCAAAATATGTATTTTCTTTGATAATTATTATGATAATTATCCGATACATCCTATAATTATCCATGCTAATACATAATTTAGACTTTTAATTATTTATTAAAAATTACAAACAATGAGAAAAGTAAATAACACAAAGAATTTTTTTTTTGAGATTGGCATTTGATACGTTTGGAAAAGTGTCAGGTGTGCAGTGTCAGTGACACGGCGCGATATTGCTAGCGGTAGCATTTTGTTGGTCGAAGCAATTTCTTAAATATTAATTAACATAACTGAATGATAATTACATCGAACCCTGGTTAATTATAATGAAAAGGGAAACTTACTACTTATGTCTAGGTCATCTTCGTCCCCTGAGTTTATGTGTCTGCCCTTCATGTCGCCATTGTAGCCGTGTGAGTTCCTGACAACAATTTATCGTAAATTAGGTGATTTAAATCACATGCATTCAGCATAAAAGTACAGCATTTAACCAAATGCTCAACTTTAGAATTATTTCAATGAACTATTAAATTCAATTTTACTACATTCATAAAACTGTTTACATGTGCTTTTTTGTTGTAGGCTTCCTCATGAACAAAATAATAATAATAAAATAGTAAATAAAAAACTAGGAAATTTCCTCTACTATGAATGAGTACAGGGACTACAGGGACAGGGACTCTAACCCTGAATCTCCTCATCCATCGCCCATAGTGCAAAACGTTGAGCCACCGAGGTCGTCAAGGACATCCTTGTCATTGACATTCACGTTTATCTGTTCAATGTCGAATATCCTCGGCCCCTTATTTATTTATTTTTAAATACCTGAGAGGGCTGGGGTCGCAGGTGTAAGGGGGGTCGCCGCTGATGTGCATGTCTGTAGAGTGGTCGAGCCGCGCCGCCCGATCGCTCGTCATGTCACATGTAGACTCTATTATACCTGAACAAAGCAAAACTTGCAATTAATGATGCCAATTTTGTTTTATATAAGACTTAGAAACAAATTGTTTGTCTATACAGGGTGGAAATTTGTAATGCCACTTGGAAGGAAAGTACGTTAAATACTGGAGATATAAATTTTGACTTAAAGGAAACATTCCTTTATTTTTAATAAGAAATAATACTGCATTCAAAGATTTTCGAAAATTGCTAGCCACCCGCGGGAATCGAACCCGCTAAAATCTTTTAAAAAATGTACTTTTATTAAATCAATCGCCTATCGATTCAATTCGAGTCAATTATGAGGATGAAATCTCTCTTACAAACCATGAAATCTGGAGTTATAAATTCAATGGGTCAAGTTAAAGCACTTTTACTCAAAGGTCCATCAGATTACTTGTTAATTATCGTTGACGTCATTTATCCATTAAAATGACGAAGTACTATTTAGATAAAATTGCAATTTGCACATGTTTGTAATGCAGACTCTTTGGTCAGTGGCAGAGGCAATTTAAATATGGAATGTTTCATTTGAAAATGAATTGTCTTTTGTTATTTCCATTTGATTGTTTTTACATGTCCATTCTAAGTACTGATAGTTTTCCTGTAAATATATAAATTTCATATTTGTCTCATCGTAAAAATGGCATATCAAGAACAATTAGATTTAATGGAAGCTTATTTTTTAAATAACAAAAATGTGAATTTAGCTAATAATTTTCCCGCGTGTTGTTAGAAATTTTCGAAAATCTATGATTTCAGTGTTATTTATTTTTTTAAATAAAGGAATATTTCCTTTAAGCAAAAATTTCTATCTCCAGTATTTAGAGTACTTTCCCTCCGGGTGGCATTACAAATTTCCACCCGGTATAATAATAATAATAATTGACTATTAAAACCTGTGCTTTAGAAAACGAAATGTTAAGAAATTATTGCTTTTTTTGTTATTTTTGCAGTTCAGAACAACTAAAGTCAAAGAATGAATCAATGTTTGTTTTTTATCAAAGATCAATATTTATAACAAACCCCATGGCGTCGCGACGAGAGCCCCGACAGACTACATACTGGTCTTCGGATCTCTTTTTCTTTCCTATGATTAACGAAAGAGAGATCCGATGGTCAGCCGATCATTAAAGCGGTTCCACGCGGCGACCTTTACACACACGCGCGACTTTAAGCAGTGATGCAAACGCGCGATTGCATCGATAAAATCACAAGTGTAGCGATGCAATCGCGCGTTTGCGTCGATGCAATCGCCTAATTATAAATCGCAAGTGTAGCGAGTATAGCGATAGTTTGCATCGCTGTCTGCTCAAAGCCGCCGTGTGTAACCACACTTAGGGTCGTATTCCAGAACTCTACTCAATGCTCAAGTCAGGATTGCAATTGAAACACAAGCACTGGAAATACGACCCTATGGCAGGGACTTGAGTATGATTTCGAGTACTTTAAACCATACTCAAATCCTAACTTGAGCATTGAATAGAGTTCTAGAATACGACTCTTAGTCTGTAATCTACGGAGGCTATTAATTAAGCATGCTGAATACATATTCCAGCCGGTGGCAGGGAGGACGCTCAAGCAAATGATACAAATATAGATACATGAAATTGACAATCGAATTTACTGCCTCTTCGAGTGGAGTTATCGATCGATCGGTTTCTTCCCGAGCCGAACATTCCGGCCTTTTTGATGAAATATTTGGGTGAACTTTGTAAGAAACCCTAAATGTTGTAGAAAATACATAATTGAAAATTACGTAAACGATGTGTTAGAGTCGTCAAGTTTAATCAATCATATTTATAACTTATAAGCTTCCAATGAAATAAAAAATTAAGTAAAAATGTCGAAATTATTAATTTGAGGTGGTTATGCCTCAAGGTGACTTTAAACACGTAGTGAAAAGGGCCGGGTATGTTATACTAATTTTATTAAACACGTCCTCTTATAAAAAGCGCTTTGAACATTACAAACAATGACATTACTGTAGCTCTTAAATTAAATAATAAATTAAAATAAAATAAATTAGTTTACCATTTTGTTTAACTGGCGGTATGTGGTTGCTGATCACATATTCGTCGATGTCGCAGTCTAGTTTGGCGTTTTGCAAATTGTTCGTATAGCAATTCTTGCAATGCTCCAACCTGAAAGCGAACAATAACAAATGAAGCCACATTTCAGATTGAGATATATCACGAGTTATCCGATACTGTGTACAATGGCATTGTGTACTTTGTGATAAAATTTTCCGAGCCTACGATACCGTCTTATCATATGGAACCACTATTATATTTATATAATAATTTTAATTACGCAGACGCTGACGATACAAACGTAAACAACAACACAAAAGTGCTACTTTTTAACCGACTTTAATAAAAGGAGGAGGTTCTCAATTCGACTGTATTTTTTATATGTATGTTTAATCTGTGAATCGACTTGATGATTCGTTTGTTGTTATAAATCGGGTTCCTCAGTATTACTTTTATTATTATTATCCCATTTAAACTTGAAGAATATATTTCACTTCTAATGCTCAGGCCATACGACGCGGCGCGTCGACGCGTTTCAGAGTGGCAGGGTTCATATGAACTCGTACGTTACAAAAATTCCCGCGCCTGAGCATAAGGGTGGCAAATTAGGGGATGAATCTGGTTTCACGAACTTTCCGGTAACCGATTTCAATAAAACTTGGGAAACAGATGTAATTAAACGAATTTTTGAAGTCGGTTTTTTTAAATAAAAATAAAAAAATAAAATAAAAAAGTTGTAATTACGCTACAATTTTAACAGTTTTTTTTTTTAATAATAATTTTGACAGATTGAATATATTTACTAGGGCTTTTATCCCGGTAATCGATCTTTTGGCATTTTCGAGACTCGATATTTCTGTTTTAGTCTCGGGAATATCAAGACACAAATACTACAACGTTTAGGTACCGTAAAATTTAATATTAGAGCAGTTACTATTGGTAGATCTCAAAAAACAGTGCGTTTTTTAAGACTTTTTTGTGTGTTGCCGTACTCACAAAATTCATAATTTACATAATATGTACATTGAATCAATAGAAACACTACGGCAAGAAAAGTACTGACATTTATGTGTGCGGTACTATTTTAGTACTGTCCATGAAAGGGTTAATTAAACAGTATTAAAAAATGTACTAAACTAACCTAAGTGTCGTATTCTAGAACTCAACTCAATGCTCAAGTCAGGATTTGAGTATGGTTTAAAGCACTCGAAATCATACTCAAATCCCTGCCATTAGGGTCGTATTTCCAGTGCTTGATATCATACTCAAGTCTGCTCAAATCCTGACTTGAGCATTGAGTAGAGTTCTGGAATACGACCCTAAGTCTTTATTCTGGTTACATGGACATAGCTACACTAAAGAGTAGACTTATTATAATCTGTTGAGATTGAAGAACGATAGTAATAAAATCAGGTACTCACTATATGAAATTTTATTACACGCCCTTTGTTTCTTACGTACACACTATAAAAATGAAGAACGATATAGATAACTTTCATTAATATTTTTTATTTTATAATTTGCATTAATAAAGGACTTGATTAAAATACCATGTTTTTACTGCCTAATTGCCTAGTTAGCCTAAAAGTATGGAAACCTAGTTTTGAAATGATTGAGAAAGTCTTGTTTTTCCCAGGATTTTCTAGACCACACTGACTCTCGATTGTTTTCCCCGGGACGCGGAAATTTGGCGAGCCCAAATGTCCTAACATTTACGTTACATTAATTAATTTTTGTATTTTCAACGTTTTTTCACCATTTAGAAACAAAACGTACAGGAAAATAATGTTTGTACAACAATTCAATAATACGAGTCTTCAATATCAGAAATTGAGTAACGTTTCTATAAACGTCGTTCCCTATTTCAAACGCAATATAAGGGCAAAGATGTTTCTATTTAATTTCTTTATTAATAAGAAATAAAGGCGCTAAAGTGACTTTTCATTTCGCAGTTTTCCAAGTGAATCGGCACGCGATGGCTGGCTCGGGGGAATCTTACGGCGTTTTGAAACTCAAATCGAGTTTAATCAGCTGAACACTATACGAGGCAAAGTAGCGAAGGCATGATATTTTATTTAGACACAAACAGCACGGCAGCGTATGTATATACGAATAGGAAGGTCTCGCACATCTACCGCTTCCGATTTCAGCTATATATATATCTTGATGGCCCCATAAAAAAGATAAGATAACGCTCCGAGTCCTTTAGAATTTTTACATAAAACTTTTTTTCATTTTTGTCTCCGGTAAAGTATAAATGTATTTCTTAACATTGTTTAATTAGCCTATTTCGCATTCTTATCCACGGTTCTAGGTATTTTCTTTTTCAAATCAGAGGCCGCTTATTGTTACAAACCAGTAACTCAAAGTAGCTCTCCAATTATGGTTGGGTAAAGGAAAAAAATAATACAATATTAAGTTGTTTCAGTACTATTAGTATTCACAACGTAGGAGCCGTAAGAGAGGGTATCGGAATGGTTTCTCGAGGTCAGTCGGCAGCACTGGCGATATTACCCGTAAAGTAGGGCCTATTTCCCAGTTATTCGTATCTTAAGATATAGAAAACGAAGTCAATATTCCATGATTTTTTGAAGACCTTAGTGGCTTACGGCTCAATTTATATTGAAGAGAATTTTTGTAAAATAGCATAATGAACTTTATAATCAATTTTGTAACGTACAAACTAAAAACGAGCCAAAATCTTCCGCGAGAATGCGCGAGAATTCCTCAGAAGATTTTGGCTCGTATCTAGTTTGTACGTTACACAAATGACATAAAGTTCATTATACCATGTTACAAAAAAATTGCTTCTACTCCGTTCCACCGCAGTATAAATTGAGCCTTACCGTTTATATTGTGGGTGCTGGATGCGGAGGTACTGAGTAAGTACATAACAACCCAAGTATCACTTTAAGGTACAACTGAATAGGCATCTTCTGAGCGAGCTGGCTCCATCGTATCTTTGCTCCAGAGCTAGGTAGTGGTCAAGAGCAAGTTCATTTACTTTGAAAAACCTAGCACTAATTGCTTCAAACGCCTAACACCTACCCATAACAGAAAATAGATCTTTTCAAATAAGGAAAATGACCGCCATTTGACTTAGCAGAGTATTAACGGCTGAGCCACGGAGAAATTAGATTATATCTGAAATATAATACACACCGGTGTCAGTGATAGTGAGTGGTCCGTTATTGCAGATCCAATTTCAGTAGCGATGTTAAGCCAACGAAATATTAGCGCAGCTGCTCTCAAGCCGTGTATTGTGTTTTGCATTTTCATGAGCACGATTTAAGGTACTGCGTCAGGGTCCTGTTTTCCTACAAATTTGCACGATCGTGCCAAAAGCTTAATGTTGTCTTCTAAAATATTATTGTGGTATGATCAATGCTTAATTTACGGTAATATTAAAATATAATAAATTCAGCCCAATAACTTATTTATTGGAAATTAAACTATTTGTTCCGGATCTAAATAGCGTATATATTGTTTTTTCAAACAAACCAACGTTTCGGGTCTGGCTGTTTGAAAAAACAAATATATACATTTTTTATTCTATGCAAAATTTCAACTAACATCTTTATTTTATTAAAGAACATCAAACACTACATACACTTATTAAAAACTTAAACATCAGTATTAGTTGCAAATTGGTCGATAAACAATAGACCTACTAACACGAAAACTATGTTATGAGTTAGCAGTTCTCCGCTCATAGTATAATCACATAAACAACTATGGATTCCAAATCCTAGTTTAACCTAATTTAAGCTAGAAGCATGTGCGAAATAGTAATAATTAATTAAGAGATTCAAAGAGCACGATACTGACACTGTCAAATAAAATTAATATGATTGACTAACGTACAAAATATTTTAGTAGCAGTAGAGCTCCTTGTGAAAGAGTGCAACTAGGGTAGTACTGCCAGCATTACTGTGTTCCGGTATTGAAGGATAAGGGTGCTAGTGAAATTACAGGCACATGGAACTTGTCAACTTACGTCTCAGGGTAACGGGCGCAGTGGTAGTTCCCCTCAATTCTTTGCGATTTAAAGCGCTGAGTGGTACTGCAAATGTTATGGACAGGCGTGTAGCTTACCGTTAGGCGTACGACTTGTTCGTCCCAACACTTAATACAATTAAAAAAAACATTATTCAGGTGTGCATGCTACATCGTCGACCTCATCGTCACTTTCCATAAGGTGAGATGGAGGTCAAATGCGCACTTGTTTTTTTATAAAAAAAAATTTAATCACAATATAGTTAAAAATGTTTGAGACGAACTATGTAAATAACTTTTTTACTTCTAAAGTGTAAATTATGTCCCTTAATGTATAGTAAGAGTTGATGTAATTATGATATCACAATGAGATATTTTATGAAGTAAATCGCAATAACAGTATGCCAACAGACTATATTTCACATCTAATAAGTTTTCTAATTACTAGTAATTGAAAGTAAGTTACTACTTTTTATGCCTTTTTTCAAAATTGCTTATAATATAATATAGAAATACCAAGTCTTTTTATTTATATAATGAATTATTTTACCACTTTATATTACGTACCACGTAAATGCAAAAAAAAGAGGGAGGTAATAAGCACAAACATGTTACATTTTTAATATTGCCGCAAATTAAACCTTGCAATTGGATTGCCACTTTAATATTTTAGTAGAGAACATTAATACTTTAAACACGAATGTACAAAAACTGTGGCTTGAAAACAAGTCTATGACAAACCACTTTAATCAAGCTGCTTAATATTATTTACTTAATTTTTATTCAATTTTACTGCAACTGTCAAGCGAGGCACATAATCCTTTTATCAAACCTACGCCTTAATACTGTAATAACCTTATCTGCCTCTGTGGCCGAACGGTTACCATACTGGACTGCCACGGAGAGGTCCCGGGTTCGATTCCCGGGCCGGAAAAAATATTTGTATGGCCTACATTTATTTCTCTCGTGAGTTTGAGTGTACTATATGGTTGTCTGTGTATGTTCAAGGCATCTGCGAAACAGGGTTTCCTTACAGCGGGACTAAAGGTGTGCGTTAAAGAAATAACAATAATAATTTCATTAAAAAATAGTTTCATGTTCACCGTGCAGCAATTGTAAAATCTAAGAAATGTAATATTATTACACAGTAAAGGGAAGGTACTGTTTTCACGGATCATTATCTTCAGATTAATCAGCTACGACATTTTTCATTTTCAGCAATTGACGCGATAAAGCAACATTAAAAAAAGGACGCTGGCGTTTCCGCGATTTTACCCAACACTTCAGGACCGATGTGCATGAAAGTTTTTTAATAGAACGTCAGGACTCTCGGAAAGTATCTAAGCCCAAGGTCTGGTTAAATTTCAACCCTGAAGATACATAACAAGTAATATCATAATTTTCGAATATATTATATCGAAGGCTATTACGGTATGCTGGGATACCGATGCAAGGCGATAAGGGATCTTTTATTGCCTTGCTTGATTTTTCTCGTGTTTTTGATACCGTCAACATCCAACTTTTGCTTTCTAAGCTCATTGATCATGTCTTCAACCATCATTATCATCTCAGCCCGTTAACACCCACTGCTGGGTATAGGCCTCCTCTGTTGGACGCCAGCTCAATCGGTCCTGTGGGAATCTCATCCACCATAACATTATTAGACCTGACCTCTACGGTCGTAGTCAGCGATTAAGAAATGTCAAGTGAACCCTTTTAAATATTTGGCCATAAGATTGTGTTTACTAACCAGCTAGCGTGGTCTGGGTCCAATTGCCCTCCGAGTTGCCGCGGAAGACTCGCACGCGGCACGTGCACAGCGAGTTGCGGAGCGCTCACCGTGTGCACGCGCTCGCGCAGTTTCTCGCGTACGAACAGCCGCAAGATGCGGAACGGCGCCTTGAACCACAACGGCGCTGTTACTATTAGCACCTTCTTCAATTTCGCTGGATAACCGCCCTGTTGACAAACGCAAACACAGTTTAAGTATATTATAAATAAATATTTAATTAAAAAATACAACTATTCCTAATTTAAAAAGATATTCATTTCTAAAAAGAAGTCAATTTACATTGCTAATGTAACAATACTTAAAGGTGTGATGAGTTTCTTCATTAAAACTAAGTGATGCAAGTTTAAGTTTACTTAATGAGTTCGTTAAATATAAATAGATATTTATTTATAACAAGTGATTCACTATTGTTCAAATGATTTAGCAACAAACAACATTATGATCGTCTTCTAATTATGCAATATTTTTTAAAAACTCATTTCTGCTAAAGCGGACTATTAAACAGATACCCGTATAACAATAATGACAACTCCGGAACCAATAGGCATTGTTCATTTTTTTTCAAACTCTCTATTTCAAAATCCATTTCGAGGAATAAGATTGCAGATTAATATTTTCTATGTATTTGTCAATATTACGTTGAGATTCTTTATATTTTTCAAAAAATAGTATTGACGTTTATTTGACATTCAATGACGTCATCAGTGGCTCTATAATGTTTTGTCCGTAATATAATACAGCTATGGAATACAACAAAATATCAAATATAACACAGCTATGGAATACAGAAACTGCTTTGTTCATACCTACGAGAATTGTGTCGTGAAGTAAATGTGAGATACTTCAAAGTTTACACTATTTATTGTTGTAAAGATCACTTTGAAGTAAGTTGATAAACCTGTATAAAACAACACTCTTCGTCTTTCTTTTGACTATTAGTACTACTGTGAAATTTCCGAGGTAATAATATTCTATTAGTTTTGTAATTATGAAATATGAGCAAAAACTCAAACGCACAGTCAAGCTGATCAATATCAGTATATTATATTAAAATGAGGTATAAATTGAACAGTTTGATTTGTATGATTGTAAATTTACCTATTGTATACTATATAAAGCTAATAATAATATGTTTTCAGCATCCAAGTGAATCAAAAGACACTGAATTACGAAAACTGCTATTCCAACCTAGTACCAGCATAACAGCAAAAAAAGAAATCATTGAGAGTTTGTGTAGTCCCCAATACGTCTCCGACTTGCACATTACTTATAAAGTTTATTTAGTTATATCATTACTCTTGTGCTATGAAGCATTCTTGTAACAAAAATATTGTTGGTTGCATTAAGAAGTATCCAATCTACTTTTTAGATATACGCTGAAAACAGTGGGAAGTAAAAATGGTTAATTATAGAATAAGGGAAACAACAAGTGCTAGGACGACAGCTGAAACACTTTCTTCTCGAGAAGTTTCTTCAACAGCTACTCCTTCTCTGTTTGGTTCTACATTCGAAATGGAAGAGTGAACTTTACAAGGCAAAAATAGTGTTAAAAAGTAGAAAAGATATTGTTAGATAGATATTCAGAAAACCTAAGATGTATCTATTGACTATCTAAACAATATTAGTGTCTTATTGTAACTTTGTTTAAAACAAAACAAATTGATTCAGTATAAAGAATAAGTGATCAACTTGAATTTTCAGACTAAACTTGCAATAAGGATTTTGATCAGTATAGAAAATTTAGGTAATTAAAAAAAATCTAATTTGCACTTCTCATTCAAAAGAAATTAAAAAACCTGCCACTTGTATTTAAAGTAATATTCAAATGTTGAAATGATTTCGATGTTGAAATTTTCACTGCGTAAACAACACTCAACAACAAATATGTGCCATATTTGCATGCGATTTTTCTTTAATAAAGAGTGACTGAAATGATTGAATTCTTAATAAATAATAATTCTAATATCAGCACATTTTTCTTGAAGTGGATTAATGTCATGATTATGAAATTAAAATCAATGCACACCTTTTTGCCAAAGAGAACTTGGGTGCCATTTTTTTAACTGCTATGTTTTGTCAGCAACAGTTTTATAAGAATAATATAAAAGTTATGGAGATCATCGACAGTGTCAGTTTCTTAATTCAAAAATCTTATTTAAATTGTAATAGTATGTGAAATTTAGCAATATCACACAATTTTTCTCTTACATGACAGTTCTTTTATTAAATGACAGCTTTATAATGTCGAATATTTAAAGAAGGTACCAACACTAAATAGTCTTGTTGGTTAACAATCGAAAGGTAAAAAACTGCGATTCAAGTAAATTGTTATTTAGATAATGGAGTAAATAAAATAATTATTAATTAATAATACTTTTATTTCTCACCTATAGCAAATAGCACTTGAAATTGTCAGAATTGACATAAGATCACTACTCACTCACGAGATATATTTAACCAGTGTTTCCCGTTGGTCAGACCGGTCTGGCCAATGGGATTTTTTTAATAACGAATGAGTAGTAATGTGTAATCAATTTTATGAAATCAATAACGCATTTTGTCACATTTTTAATATTCATTTTAATATAGGATCACTACCATAGATATTTCACATCTAATTAAAAAACTGAAGCTGTATAAAGTTTTCATTTCACTATAGCTTTCATCTCACTTCATAGCCTTTTTAAGCTGAGTTACAAATATTTTTACATTACAATTTTACGTTGCAATTAAAATTTTTACATTATAAGAATCTCTTAACTCAGCATGCCTCTTGGCATAGACCTCATCCAGACCTTTCCAGTGCTCTATCAAGAGCTACTCTTCTTCAACATGGTCCTGCAGTTAGCTTCAGCTCAACCTCCCATGTTTGATGTTGACACCCTCTTTTACGTTTTCTATCACGTGGGTATCAAGTGGTAACTACTTTCTCCATTTTATCCGCCCACGTAACAGCTATTTAATTTTAAATCTATATAGATGTTTCAACATTTGAACGATTTTTACTCTTCTTATTTCTGCAATATTAAGCTTATTTTAAGTAAATGTATTCCATAATCATTACATTTTCAACTTTTGGCAATTTACGAGATTCAGCTTTTATAAAGTTCATGATTCCGTCAGTCATATAACTGCACTAAATGAAACAAGAAGAAACAAAAACGCGTGCGAAAATAGTAAAACGATAAAACCCCAATACTTTAAAGAAATAGAGAACAAAAAGTAACATAAACATCTATAGGTTACAATTTCGTTTTTGATTTTTTTATTTTTTATTTTAATTTATTAAGGCTTTGGCAAAGCCATCAGCCTAAACATGAAGTTTAATTATGTTTCTGTAAATATGGCCGCCACAAAGAGGATAGGCAATTTGAGGCGGCGTGCTTGGATTGACTCGGGATTCCTTAAAACGGGCCGATACGGGTATTTTAGTTCGAGATTCGTATAATTTCGCGATTTAATCTTCGATTAAGGCACAATAGCACTATCCTATTCCACTTTAAACTAGATTTCACAAAATAATTGAAAGTCAAAATAAAAACGACACTATTCCCTCCAAAAGGTCCAGAGCGAATCCTTTCGTTTTTGACATTTTGAGAGTTGTCAATTTACTTTTTTAAATATTCCCTGCCTTAAAGGATAACATTTATAGAGCCTTTCATAACGTCACAAAATAAATAACTTGCGAAATTTTCAAAAAATCATAACAAGGCGAATAAGCTACGAAATGATAAAATATTCAAGTTAGTGTCTTAAAATAGTCAATATATTTTCAAAAAAAAATTTAATATGTATAGGTAAAAAATTGTGAACAATGCCCATTGCAGATAGGTACTTAGATTGTGAAATATGAACGCAGTTTTTACCGTCGAGTTGAAGCTGATAGCGATGACGCACGAAGCGGGACGTAATCTCGAACGTTCTCGTGTAGTTCCCTACCACGAAAAGGGACTAAGGGAGTCACCACAATTACAGAGTCGAAATAGGCTTGGGCAGGTCAGAAATATCTTTATGTCCTTGCAGTAACAGTAAAAGTACATAGTTTTTTTTTCACCCTTCTTGGATGGACTTTTCTAACTGGCTTCTATCCGGTTCCGTGTAAATAAGTGTTGGGACTTCCTAAATTCAAACGTGCAAGCAATCTTAATTAATTAGGTTACAAAGAATGAAACGTTTCATGAGTTTGAAAGTCAACTGACAAGTTTAATAAAAAATCATCATGTAATAATCTCAATATACTTAGCAGATTGCTTAGCAGACAATGCGATCAAATCACGGCCTGTCATCTTAAAAAACGTCATTCATTTTTCTTTATCACGTTTACCACATAAAAATGTCGCATTACGTAAGACCTATTCTTATGTCACCATCAGACAGCCTTCAATCGATTTACAAAGGAATATCATAAATCCATGTATCCATAAAAAAAAACAGTCTGCACGTATTTCAGTAAAATAAGTTTTCCAAGAAATTTCTGCCGAAGCGTAGGAAAAGTTTGATAAAATCCAGTCAGGTTTGCATTCGAAACCTTAAGTTTAAGTATGTATGTCAAAACGGCGTACAACGTATATAAGTACTAGATAAAGACAAATTCATCTGTTTACCTTATACACCGTGAATACTCTGAGACAGAATAAAAAACTTTGAAGGTTCGTTAAGTATTTATATATAATCAAATTTAGGAAACAAAAATTATTGGAATGACATTCCAATAATTTTGTGTTGCTTTTTTTAATATGGCAAACAGTAGCAGAATATCAGCGGCACTGAGGTACACTCTGCCATTTTGCTTAGCTTAGACCTTTATAATTCCCACCAGTAATGGTGGTTACCAAACCCTACGTGAAATGTAGTTTACATTTATTTATTCATTTATTAATGTGTTGAGATAAATAAACGGCTACATCATCATTAAATAGAAGCATACCTAGGTACCTACGTATAACCGAAACAATTCATTAAGTCAGCGTATTAACGAACTTCTCTAAAATAATAATAATACAAACTTTTGGAAAGACAGCACCGAGCATGGTACGTATTTTTCCGACCGTATGCGGGTTCTTTGCGTGGGCTACAGCATTACTTCCTTCAAAAGTTGGAAGCGTACTAGGACTTTCATTACATAGTGCTGCCGTTATACACAAAATTTTTTCGTTTTTATTAACAGCAGCGTTTCCCTGTAATAAACTAAACCTAGTGTGGCTCCAGGATCAAAGACGCTTAGAAGAATTGAATGGAGTTCGTTCAAAACTAATTCGCCCGAAGGGATCCCGAAAACCGAGTGACAAACTTGATAATAAATCCGCATTACCGTCCCAATTGGGAGTTAGCCTTATAAATATTCAGGGTCAGAGTCTGTAAGCGTTCAAGGGTAAAATAAGCTCTTCTTCTTTTCAAGAGGGTAAGACACGAAAATCTGGGATGTATCTTGTGCTGTAGCAAGTTGATCATAAGGCATAGCGTTCTTAGTTGAGTCACAAACGATCCTTATGCAGACGTTAGTCGAAATACACAAAATTTAAATGACATGAAAATTTATATGATGGATGAAAAGGATCCGACAGGGTGACATCATTGGTCATTTCGTTGTGAATTTCGCAAGTCACACAAAAAGTTTCCCAGCCAACGTTATTTACTTTTATTCTTGAGACTGTTTGCTCGCTATTCTTTTTGAATTTATCTTTCTGTGGCTACAGAAGAAGTAGCACGTTCCTCTGTATACTCATTCTTTATTATATATATATCTCTCTTTGTACATTTTAGTAGCAATGGAGCTCCTTGTGAAAGAGTTCATCCAAGGAAGCACCTATTTTCAACTTACCTTATTCTGCCGCCAAGCATTACTGCATTCCGGTTTTGAAGGGTAAGGGTGCTGGTGAAATTGCAAGCACATAGGACTTGTCAATTTATGTCTCAGGGTAACGAGCGCAGTGGCGGTGCCCCACAGATCCTTGCGATTTAAAGTTCCCAGTGGCCAATTGCTATGTCGTTTACCACAAGGCGCACGACTTGTTCATCCTGTCACTTGGTGTAATAAAAAAAGCACAAAGCCGTGTACGAAAATCGAATGGCATTTCAGTATTACTGTAGATATTGTTACCCCTCGGGACGGCTCTCAAAACTACGGTGAGGGTAATGATTCCCCGCGCACGATTTATTAAGGTGAAAGGTAACAGAGCTATTCAAATGCGAAGAGCTTCGAAGTTTCAGATACTAGCCTCATCTTATCACGGACCTTCCATAAAAGTGGTCTCGTCCCAAAACAATACGTCGTAACATAAATTATACATCATGCATAAATTATGACAACGAGCAGGCTCCAATGCACAACGATCCATTTTCTGATTAAAACCTCATACCTGTTTTCTCTTTATCAATAACTACATGTGTATTTATAAAATACTATAAAATACAATTTAAATTCTACGTAACGCCTTGTGTAAAATGTTTCAAGGTATTTATGACTCATTTGGTCGCTGTAGAATTGGAGCGTCGAGGCTGCGGTTCTAATAAGACGATAATGGCACAAGCGCAATGGCATAACTGCGATTAGCGGAAAATAAGAATATGTCGTTTATAATAAAATAAAAATCGCTCATAAAGAGTACTAATAGAACGACTATAATACTGAAGTGGGTAGAATGAAATGAGTTCGTATTCTACCCGAAACCTTTAATTAAATTTAAAATTAACATAACCGTTGGGATGGGATGAGATCAAAGCTCGTAAATCAAATAAAAAACAAATGTCAAACATGGGTCACTGAGGTCAGTGTCATAAATGGGGAATAATCAATTATATAAGCCCAGACATTTCTATATAAATGTTACACCAAATATGGACGTTATGACGCCGACGGCAGGCAATATTAATAGTCCCCGTCTCATAGGATTGGACGTTATTCCAATTCTCTATTATCAAGTTATTATGGCTATTAAACGCTCTTGCTAAGAGGCTCAACGCATAAATAAGGATTTCGACATTCTGCACACGAAGCAAGAGTATCTTCCTTCGTACACGGTTGCTATTTAGGGCATTGTTGGAAAAAACTATCAATAGTTGACCTTGAACGCGTGGTTACATTAGGGATAATATCGATATTGACGATTAAATGTACTACTGTATATAGGTAAGCAGTACTATGGAAGTATCGTTGCGTATTAAATTCATATTTGATACCGGTAGCTACTAAAACTATCGATAGTACTGTACGATAGTCTAATAAACTGTATAGTACTTATTGTAATAAATAAAAATATAACCATTAGTATACAAGAATATTTTAATTGATATTGTCACATTAATGAACTGCAATTCTTTGTTAAGGTCCATTGCGAAATAATCCTGTTTGCTGACGATACATCCCTGATTTTTAAAACAGACAGTCATGACGTTAACTATGCTCGTACTAACAATACCCTCTCTAACGTAGTGTATTGGTTTAATGCTAACAATTTATTACTTAATGCCAAGAAGACAAAGTGTGTTAAATTTGAATTATCTAACGTAAAATCGACTAGTTCAAACATAGAAATAAACGGAGAAAAATTAGTCCTTGTTAATTATGAAGTTTTCTTGGGAGTGACTGAGATGGTAAACTTCAATGGTTCCCACATATATCTTCCCTGGACAGTAGATTAAGCTCCGCATATTGCATTGGCAGTCCGTAGAATACGTGAGCTTACTGATACTGCTAGACTTGTTCACTTTAGTTACTTCCATAGTATAATGTCCTACGGGAGTCTGATGTGGGGTAAAGCGGCAGACATACAAACCATATTTATACTTATTGCGAAAACGAGCGATTCGTTCTGTATACCGTTTAGGTTCTCGGGTTTTTCTCAGAAAAAAGTTTATGGAGACTGGTATCATGACGTGTCATCACAGTACATAATATACATAATTTGATTTCATAAAAAGATATTCATAAAATTTACCTTACAGCAAGTCCAGACTCATGGTACCACGATTTCATTTAACCAAGGTAAACGATTCCTAAGTTTAATAACTACATTAATAATATTTTAATTGAAAAGTCATACAACAAAATTGAAGACTACGTGTTAGATAAAGATGTATGAAAAGACAACACAGCTCTAGATTCCACACAAATTTGACTCAAAGTGTATTAATCCATAGCATTTAAATTTATTTCAAAAGAGCAGTCCGTACGTAATAATAATGGAGGACGAGTTGTTCACGCGTACTTAGTATATTTGGTTTAAGAAATCTTTGTTTCTGTGCCAGTTTGTGATTTTCGTGTTTTCGCTAATAATGTGGCCAAGTCAATTCATATAGACTGTTCCACAACAATCCATAAAATCTTCGACTCGGCTTCTCTTTTGAGTTTATCCACTCATGCCACTTGACAGTTAGCTACTTTTTATAAAATTTATTTCAAATAAGCCAAATATTCTAAAGGGGCTCGCGGGAACACAGGCATATGAAGTTGAAGACGGCCAGGGGTGAAAGGTCAACGACCCTGCTTTTAAGCTCCCTTCGACTCGTGAAATTATTACAACCGTATTCCTTCCTGCTGTCTATACAATTTCATTGCTTATCGCTCTAAAGCACAGAGAGAGAAAAGTCAACGCGACGAATTGTCTTGAACAAACTCTTCACATAGTTCAATGTCAAAAGCAACAAGCCAACTACTCAAAATATCCACAGAAACTTTTGTAAAAAAAAAAGTTCGCAAAACTGCTTGAGAAAAATTCTTACAAGAATTTTTTTCAACAAATTAATACAAACAAATTAATACCAAACTCTGAACCTGCTGAAAATTTTATCAAGTTTTAGTAAATTTGCAGGGGCAAACACTGGAAGGTAGTGCAGTACATTGTCGTCTAGACAACCAGTGACGTCAATAAAATCGATTGCCTTCAGACTCCATCCTCCTACACATAGCCAGAGGTGAGTAATCTATTTCAATTAC